CTCACAGTTTCACTTGGAAGTTCAGAATGGACCTATCGAGGGAAGAAGTTCTGCAAACGGGCAACTCACCTTTTGAGGTACACCCCCTTGATATTTTTTGCATCTGCAAGCAGTTCATGGCCGATCGCGCTGGTCAGCCGCCAGTCTTGATGATTCCCAACTGCCGGTACGTCACAGCAGCCTTGACTCCCGCTCCGACAAGATCAATACAGTTGCAGATTGATGACAAGCGAAAAAAACAGCTTCGACAGATGGCAAACCTTTTGGAGCAACTCTCAGCAGATTGGTCAGCAGACCACTCCTTTTACCGTGCAGCTGCAGAGCTTCGGGTGATGGCCAATGGACGACCGCAGGTACCATCGCGAGATGGCTTTTTGGAAAGCATGGCTGCAATAGCCGCAGATCATCAACGGAGACCTCTGACACTGAATGTCTGGCACCCAGTAGTTGCCCACATTGGATTGGAAGTTTGCATCATGAACTTGAGTGTCTCAATGAACATGTGAGTGTCTCATTGATCTGTGCATTTCGGTGAATCGTATGAATGTCTAATTGCACATGCGACAAGAGTCTTGTTGCCAAGGCCGGGCCATACTATCCTCACCTGCCTGCGATCTCCTGGCAAATGATGGTGAAGTTTTGAAAGAAGTGTAATTTGGCAGATGACAAGGAGAGAAGTTGAAAGAGAGTGAAAAGCGGTTGTGATTGTGTGGCTGAAGCTAATTGATCAAGTTTGATGCCTTGAGTCACAACGGATTGAAGCATGACGCTTGATTGCAACGACCGCAATTTGCTTCTTGCATGTTGTCATATGTGCCATTGGTCAGTTTTGATGGCCCAAGCAGCTGCATCATGGCATCTCTGTTTGGCCACACGGCCAAGAGCATTGTAGAGAATCCTGAGTTTGCGCCCCTCAATCGAGACCTTCAGGTGTGCGAGATATTTTCAGGAGTGGGGTCCATCCATCGGGCTGCCACCAAACATCATTTGTTCAGTGCTGAATATGACATTGAGAGGCAGCCTGGTGTGACTGATACGGGCTCAGCCCAGAGTGAAGACTTTGGCTGCAAAGCTGGCTTTGAAAATGCGGTGAAGCTACTGATGAGGTTGGAGGAAGGTGGGCTGTGCTTCCTTGCTCCCAGATGTGGGCCTTGGATGTTCTTGAATGTGCACAACACCAAGCGAGGAAAGAACAACAAGTACTGGGGCAACACCAGAAACAAATCAGTTCAAGCTGCCAACAACATGGTGCAGGGCTGCATCGTTCTGATCGAGCTGGCAGAGCTGAGAAAACTTCGCCTGGGCTATGAGAACCCGACCAAGAGCTACATGTGGCACTGGCCACCTTTGCGGGACACTCTCAAGAAGCTGGGCTATGACACTGTGAACACTCACAGGTGTGCATGGGAGCCAAGGAAAAAGGGCATGCGGCTTTGGAAGAAGTACCGCTTTGCTGGCCAGGGCGATTGGATCCAAGCATTGGTGAAGCCATGTCCTTGTGGTGATCAGGGGCATCTCAGGACGACAAAGAAGTACACAGATGCCTCTGGGAAGAAGCGCTGCCAAGGCATCAAAAAGCGCTTGAAAGAAAGTGCGAGCTACCCATCTCTCCTGGGGCAAGCCATTGTGAAAGCATGGCTGAGCAGCAGGCATGATGGTGATCAAGCATCATCGACAGCGAAGCTTGCGAAGGGTGCGAAGGTGCAGAAGGTGATGAAGGCAATGAAGGCAATGAAGGCGGTGAAGGCCAACAAGGCCAACAAGGCCAACAAGGCCAACAAGGCCAACAAGGCCACGGTGAAGAAGGAGAAGGTGAAGAAGGAGAAGAAGGAGAAGGTGAAGAAGGAGAAGGTTCAGAAGCCGCCAAAGGTTCAGAAGGAGAACACTCCCTCCTGGCTGACACCTTGCTTGCAGAGTGCTTCTATGAGCATTCAGAGACCACATGTGCCATGCTCTGCTGGCCCTTCATGGCTGACACCGCCTTGTGAAACAAAGAGGGTGCAACAGAAAGCCCCTGCCCCGATGGCATGGATGCAGCCATCCATCAGCTAGGTACTGTACAGATCCAATCAGCGACATGTTGAAAACTGTGTGGAAAAAAACTTGCCTCCAGCCACCATTTGAAGCTACGAACAATCAATCCCAGTTTTTTCCTAGACCTCTTTTTGAACAGTTCACAAGACCAATGATGTTATGAACCTTGCCAGTATGCAATGAACCACCTGTGCTCTAGATATATGTGCCTTCCTATTGTTGGTTCATTGCATTATTGGCAATGTTCATGTGGCATGTGTTTACCATGAAAGTAATTTCATTGGTCTTGTGAAACTGTACAAAACAGTGGGCAATTCAAGGGTGCTTTGTTTTGGCCTGATCCCACTCCAACTTGGGCTCCACGCCAGTTGCTCTTGCACATCGCTGTCAAGTGTGCCTGGCACTTCCACAAAGGTGGAAATGTACAAAGACAATTGCACAAGCGACTTAGGGTTCAGAAAAGCAATGTCCACACTCCCTAGCCAACGCTTGTCCTGCATTTGCTGCAGCAGTCACTTCAATGGGAGTCATTGAGTGTTGTTGGCAGAAAGAGTCTGTTGTAAGGGAGCCCCACTAGATGTGCCAAAGAGCTTTGTTGAAAGATGTAACACTGCAATGTCAACACACTGAAGCCCAAGTGTCCAGCCCATCAAGATGTGGGCCAGGAATCTCTTTGGGAAAGCTTAGTGTTAGAGGCAGAGGCATCAATTCAAAAAGCGGTTGGCAGCCCGCACAAGGTCTGAAACCTGCCATTGCGAGCCAGGAATGGCATCAGTCATCCTCAATATCAGGCCCGTGTGTGTGTGCTGCCCCATCAATCTACCTCAGGTGTCCCTCTCGTCTAGTAAACATATATTTTAGGTTCATGTGCCAAGAAAGGGATGCATGTACCAATAAACCATGGGCTGTGAACAGCACTGTCACTACTGCGATTGAGGCATTTGCAAATAGTTTGTCAGGTCTTTCATGTTGGCCCCCTGTAGTGAACAAGCGAATGCAGCCGGGCACACTGCCTTCAAGATGCCTCCCACCACCCAGCCTTGTGCAGGTCTATCACTGATGCCTAGTGTGGCACTGAGGTCAGTAGGATTTGGTGACCATAACTAAAGTCAAGCTGGGGTTTGTGCCACTTCAACAAGAAGGTTGGCTTTTTGAGCTCCGGAAGGTCCTTGAGACACACGTCCCTTGTTTGCTTGACATGCTGGCACGTCGAGGCCTGAGACTCCATGACCAGAGCCATGACCTGGCAGGCACGGACCTCCCCTTTCGGCCAAAGAACTGGGGTGTTTTTTCTCCAGAACTCTGTTTCCACTGTGACATTGCCATACGAGCTTGGCCTGTGTGTGGGAAATGCCTTATCGCACCAGTGCTGAGTATCTTGCAGCCAGTGCTGTAATTTCGTAGCACTCCACACTGCCAAAAGAAGCGTGCTAGTTCTTTGGATGAGGGTGAATGAAGCTTTCCATTGGCTGTTGCAAGAGAAACATTTTGAAACTCCTCAGTCTCTCATCCTTTGTGATTCATTTGTCTGCATAACCATGGCAAAGCCCTGCCAACTCGTTGTGTAGTTCTGCTTCTTGGTCTCAACAGCTTTAGCCGGACTCTTGTTGAACACATACCATGACCCTGGCACTGAACGTTTCATGGCAATGGCTCCCAAACCAGCTGAAGTGATGTCATTGCACTGTTGACGTGTCATTGCAAACTTTACAGTGGCTATGCGACCAGTTCACAAAGAGAGCTGGAGGAAATGACAGCTGCCCCTTTATTTTGTGTCAGTGCACATAATGCACTACTACTCCAGTGATGCCAGAAGCCATTTACCATCAGTCTCAGAAGGTGCATCCTTTGTTTATGATCCTTTGTTTATGTTCCCTTTGCTCTCAAGCACAATGGGTGCCAGAACTTCAGAACAACTATGAGACTCATGTCAAGTCAGAAAAGTTGCACTCACTCTTCTGCTGTTGCTAGTTGCCAAACATTGGATTAGAGCCGAGTGTCTGTTGGATTGATTCAGGACCTGACTGTATCGGCAGCAATGTAGGTTTCCAGTGCTCACAATGTTTTGCTGAAGGCTTCAGATCAGAAGTAGGATTACATCATGTCCATCATGTGACAACAACTACTTCAATCCAGCCCAGCATGATCCTCCCACCCTTGGTCTAGCCTGGATTGCAGCCGTCCGGCCAGGTCATCATTGAGCCAGAGTGAAAAATGTCAGCGCGCAAATGTTCAACATGCTGGAGCTGAAGGGTCCTTAAAATGGTTAGTTTTCAGAGACGTTTGAAAACAGGCCATATTTTGTAAGTTTTCTTTACCCTGCAAAGCTGGATGGGATGACAATGCATCTTTTGTCTGACAATTTCCATGTTCTGGGAAGGGCTGCCATGTCAGGACACCTTGTCACGTATTATACAGTAATGTGTCTATTATCTTAGGTTTCATTCCCTGGCACAGGGTTCACATGCTTGGACCAGGATCGATGGGTCATGTGATTTGTGGTCCTGGTGATGCCTTCAAAGAGTAAGCATGATGCGTGAAATGATCACAAGGCATCACCTGGCACAAATCACATGCAGACAGCAAACATGTACTATTATACATATACTTGATTTAATGTGATCGATCCTGGCCTCAAGCATGCGAACTCCATGTGCAGGGAATGAAAAAAGTCCTTATTATGCATAGCTAATCACTTCCCATTGCAACTTGACAAGAAATCCACCCCCCCAAATCCAAACTATCAGATTCAAAAACCAAACTATCACAATCCATGATCATAGGTTTGCCCCCTGTCATGTTCCTTCGACTGACGCTGAGTTGTTCACAACCCAGTAGAAAAAGGCACCCCTTTTCGGGTTGACCATTTTAAGTGGGACAATCACCAAACAGCAAGTTGGATTTGGAGGGGGTGACAAAAAAATGAAAAAACCTGACACTTCACGTTTCGCTGCTGGGGACCCCACATGAACACCGCCTTCTGTTTCTCCTCAAGGCTGCCTTCTCGCACCTGCTGCAGCCTTGGCACCGCGGGCGTGAGAGGTGGCCCCAAGGTTTCGTTTTGCCGTTTGCTGCGTGCGTCTTTTCTTGCTTTATTCTGTGGACTTGTTTGAAAGGGGAAGCGAAAGGAAATCACTGACCCATTTCGCTATTTTGAGGCTCCAATTGTTTGTTGGGATAGACCATGTTTATCGACATTTGCAATCATGGCCACTGGGTAACAAGTCGGCCTGTTATGAGTCAGTGGGAAATGCTTGTGAAATCGGCAACATGTAACCACGGTAACGTGTTTGACCATGATTGAACCATCTTGCTGGTGCTCAGCAGAAACTGAGGGAATGCCCCCTATCACTCATCCCCTATGGTTGCCTTTAATTCAGGGAATCCCTAGGTTCATTTTTGACACCCATCATTCCCTGAGCACCAGCAAGCCATGTGGGAAGCCTAGTTGTTTTGGGCAGTACGTCCAACCCGAAACGGAGGAGTCTCCTTTTTACCCATGGCAAACGTTCATTTCATGACGAAAACAAGTCGGCTTCCATTCAGTTTGACACCCCAAAAAGGCCAGCAGCAGAAACACACACACACACATGTCCTGAGGCACATCAGCGATTTTGCGCCAAAACTTCCCACCCTTGCAATCTCCGGCAAGAGAGCCTGAGAGTCTGGAATCCAGCAGCAGAACTCCGAAGATGCCACCATCATGTGTCACCCGCACCTGCTGCCGCAAGTTTTCACCATTTGCCAACAACCTACTGTGGACAACATCTTTTTCGTACCAGTTGGGATTGGTGGTTGATCAACCCGAATGCAGATAGTTTTTTGTCAGGCTAGCTGGTGCGAAATGGATTTCGCTCATCCACAGTACGTAAGTGTTGTTGAGGGTAGGCGGTTTCAAAGGGACACCAAAAGAGAACCACTCATTGGGGGCTGGAATTTGAGACACACCCAACGTACAAAAGTGTTGAGATCATGGCTGTGACAAGAACCAAAAATGCAACGGAATCATCTGAAAACAAAACGTTCATTGACAACAAGGCCAGGCCTCTGGATCATCCATCCTTTTTTTGACGGCACACACTTACCTCAGCTTTTGCCCGGCTAACAATGACAGGCTTGAATTATTGTCCATGTGTGTAGTGAGCCACATGTAAAACTTTTTTCGGGCCGTCCACATCTGGGGCCCGTACTCATTTCCATCATACTTGGGTATCCTTTTCTAAGGGAGACCTTTTCGGTAACCAAAAGGAACCCACAATTCTCCGTCCCCGGAAAAGACAAACCAATTTCCCGATTCTGCATGATGTGGGTCTGTCTTTTTGAGGCTACCACTTTTTGTTTTTCGTCGTTTTCCAGGGACACCGAAAGGGCAACGGCTTTTTTGGGGGGCCACCAAAAAAAAGTGCACCTGAAAGTAGAAACATAGCTGTAAAGCAGACCGCGAAAAAAAAAAAAAGGGAAACAGAAAATAAAAACACACAACACATCGGCAACCACCCCGCGACTCGCAACTCGCGACTCGCTTGGCTCTCGGCTGTGCAGCGAGCGCGGGGTTCTTGGCCTCTGTCCTCTCTCCCGAAAGTCGTGGGTGCACCACGGCTTTATGTGCCATGGTCGAAACTCCGTTTGTTTGGCCTAGGGTCATGGTTCCCTTGGTTCCCTTGCCACACACACAAGCTCTGCATAAACCCTTTTGCGGAGATTGAATGGACCTCAATGGAGTCTCCTTTTAGCTTTCACGTTGTCCTGCAGGAATCTCAATCGCTGCGGTTGGCAAACACCTGCCCTGTTGATTGCTTACCACGCCACTTTGCACTTTCCACAGGAAGCTTTGCACATCCTCACATCAGGCAAGCACGCAGACCACATCTGCGGAGCAAATTGTATTGACTCAGGCTGCCGAACATGTGGATACTTACCTGCCGCTTGCATGGCCACCCAATTGGCAAGTGGTTGCACTGCTACACAACACTACTACATGGGATTCCTGAAGCAATCCAAGTGCAACGCTAAACGCAGCGCGTATGTCGGGGTCCCACCGGTCCTCACGTCAGGCTCTTGCCAAACGTCCGAGATGTGCAAAGGCCTTGGCGCACTTCTGAGTTGGAAAACGGGATCTTAAAAAACAGGAAGTCCTTGGAGCTTTTTGTCCAAGGAACCAGACGCATGAAATTGGATAAAGGCACAGAAAACTGGACCTGCTGGATGAAACGTTTGCGTACTAGTCCCGGCTGAACTGGGCTGGTGTCCTTTCTGGTTACAAGTTTGGATGATCTGGAACTGGAGGGCTAGTCTTGACATGCAAGTGTCATAGCAGAAACGCAGGTCGCACAGGAACAACACTGGCCTGCGCAGTTTGGTACTCGCTTCCAGCGAGCGCTGCCGTGCTGCCTTTGGTGTATGTCACCTTGTTTTTGAGAAGTACAGTCATCTCAAGAGTCTCGCCTTGCTTTGATTGCTCCAGGTCCTAAATAGAGACCAGCAGGCTCAACCCATAACCAGTTGGGGACTCAATCCGGATGGCTTAGCTATCAGATGTGCGCGCTTGAAGCATACATAATTGTTGATTCCCACATTTCAGGCACCCTGCATATTCCGCAGTCGCCCGGCGCCACTCAAAAACATAGCGTGCCCATTCCACTCAGGCTCGTGCCGGGCGTCTGGGATGTGCAATGGCCTTGGTGACACGACAAACAAGCAGACAAGATCAGGCAGACAGGCGAACTAAGGAGCGGCTGGACAAACACGCTAACACACAAAACACACACGGACGGGGGCCTGGAGTACCTTGGGCCAGAGGACCCCAGTGCATAAACTGGAAGGCCTCCCGGCGCATAAACCGGGTGCATGAACTGGAAAGCAGAGACGCTAGTAGACGGGCAGGGAATGAAAAGGAAAGGAAAGGAAGTGAAGGGACACACACCCCCAGACGCCAGTAGAAGGCAAGGGAACGAGAAGGAACACACACACCAGAGACGCTAGAAAAGGAGAAGAGTGGAAATCAGAGACGCCAGTGGAAGGCAAATGAGAAGGAAAGGGTTCGAGGAAAGGAAGCCTTGGGGACTATTTGAGCAGTGCATGAACTGGAAGGTAGTGTTCATTGGGGCCCGGCCCGAGCGCATGGAACTACAATCTGGGAGCGAACTGGAAGGACGGTGAAGGGAGAAACGTTCCAGACATGGCAGAAGGCAAGGGGGGCGTTCCCAGGAAACGTCCAGAGACTCGAGCAGAAGCGTGCCGCTAGTAGAATGAATAGATGCAGAAAGGACACGAAAGGAAAAGCTGGGCATACAATATGGGCAAAGCCCAGAAACAGGGACGCTAGTAAAAGGGGAGGAAAAGGAAGGAAGTGAAAGCAAACATACCCAGAGACGCTAGCAGAAGCCAAGGGACCAGAAACGCTAGCAAAAAGCAGGCTGGTGGCAGGGGCTAGCCCCGGAAAAATGCGCGCGCAGCTCCTGGCACGGGCATCGGCTAGAGGCAGCACGCCCAGAATCAAAAGAAACAGCCTCGCTGGCCACTCCAGTTCCTGCACACACAGAGACACAGACGCAGAGACAGACACAGAGACCTGAGCAACCACACTCGCACACGCATTCCACAGACACACGCACAGCAACACGGAACACAAACACACAACAGCGCAAACAAGCACACGGACAAACACTTACACACACTTATGCACACCCACACACCCGCACGCCCACACACCCCCACACACCCACAACCCCACACCCCACACACCCCCACACACCCCCACACACCCCCACACACAAACCCACACACCCCACACACACCCACACACCCCCACACACCCCCACACACCCCCACACCCCCCCACACCCCCCACACACCCCCACACACCCCCACACACCCCCACACACCCACACACAGAGACACACACAGAGACACACAGAGACACACAGAGACACACAGAGACACACAGAGACACAGACACACGCACACACACACACAGACTCAAGCACACACAGACTCAAGCACACATGGAGCCACACAGACACAAAGACTCAGAGGCACAAAAAACACAGAGACGCAAGAGTTGGTGCTGAGTATATTAGATAGTGAAAGATCAGGCATACAGAATAGCCTTCCGGACAGTGTGCCAAGTGAACAAACATATCATTGCCTGACCATGGGATGGGGAACCAAAGGGCAACTGGGCAAAGGCCTACCTTCGCAAATACAACGCTCATGGCCATTCCCGCATCACTCGCTTCGGTTGGCTGATATGCAAGGGTGAAAGAAACACACCCTTGAAGTGATGGATTTGATGCGCGTTTCCCTTCACCACATCAACACGCGTCATAGTCAAAATATGCAACCCCCGCATGGGGAAAGTTGGTCTCCAATGTCCCCATCAAATTCAGCATGGACTATTGCATATTACTCAATTGCAATCATTGCTGCCTGACCATCCCTGTCACCCGTCTACCTCACCAAATACGCCATGTCAATGTTTGCGGTATCAAATTAGCAGCGAGACCTCAGAAGTTCCTTGTCGTTTGGATGCCGCATAGCTTTGGCCCATGAGGCATGGTAGTGCAGAGTTGGCTTTTCCCCCTGTTTCAAGGAACCCGGCTCGTGGACTTTCTATGGGATACACAGGGGTCGGTTTACCCCAATACATCTAATCGTCCAACTCTTCGCTTGCGAGGCATGAAGGGCAGATCCCACATCAGGCTCCTGCCGGACGTCTGGGATGTGCAAAGGCCTTAGAGGCGAGCAGTCCATCTGCAAACCTTCACGGGTCCAGCGACCAGAGCAGAACACCCAGGAAGTTGCAGTAAACATGCTGAATACAGCAACTCTTCCAACGAAACACATCACACTCACAGAACGCATAACTCGCCAATCGTTCAATTGCAACACACAAACATCAGGCTAGGAGCGCGTTCTAATCCGCCCAGTAAGCCGGGAATAAAACACTTGGGTCTTGTGGCAAGTTGATTCCACTGCAACTTGGGACGCCTACTGAAAGGGGCAGGGTACTTGGCAAGCAGGTAGTAACCATGGTTATAACCCACTTACCATGGCTATAAGTCTCCGTTCAGTGGGCTGCAAACATACTAACCACTAGGTGCCCGATCGCCCCTTGAAGTACTGAAAGGGAAAGGCCCTCCGAACTGGGTTCGTCCGGGCGTTTTCCCCTTGAAATCCAACACAGGGGTCGCCTCAAAAGAAGAGACGGGGCCAAGCGGTTCGCTTGCGCGGACCTGGAAATCAAAGGCGAACCTTTTCTTGGTTGGCGTTGGGTTTGGGGAGCGCAAATGCACAAATTTTGGCAGTTGAGTGGTTGGATTTCAACCACTAAACCACAATAAGCAAAATGGGAACATGTTTCCCAACAACAACCATGTTTTGGGGGTCAAACGGTCCGCTTTGCCAGCCACCTCAAAGCCAAGTTGTGCCACACTTCAAAGAGGTCCGTACCCAAGGTTGTGAACCTCGGTTGCTTGCTGCTGCCCTGCTAAAAGGCTAAAAGTTTAACTTTTAGTGGTTTAGTAGAAAACCCCATTAGTTGGCAAAAAGTTAAAGTTCTAACATCCAAGCAAAATGCCCCAAAGAAACAACCTGGCAAATGTACAAGTTGCTAACCCTTGTAATTCATCATGTACTTGACCATGTACATGGGGATTTATGTCTACAACCATTTTCAGAGTTCTCCGCCCAGCCAGCAGCGTGGCGTCCCGGAAACGCTTCGACTCGATTCGGCTCCCTGGCTTCGTCGAAGCTTGGCGCATTCCGAAGGCACAGCACCTTGGGGTCCGGACCCGAACCTCAAAGAACCTTTTTCCCGCAATGATGGACACTTAGTGTCTTTTTTGCAACCTCCTTCATTTAGGGTATTGGCTGCTTAGGTTTGAGTCTGCGAAATTGAAAAGTGGCACCCTCCCCCACCCCCCCCGGCCCCCAACCAGGAACGGCCCAATTTGGCCTGTGTCCGGCAGACCGGTCGTTTTGTGCAAACGGTCGCCCGCTGGCCATGACGGGGTTGGTCGGAAGGGATCCACCGCCTGGGGCATCCTTTCTTCTGGGAGACCCCCATCCAGCTGTGGCAGCATGGGCTTGGTCATGAAGGGATTCACTGCCTGCGGCATCGTTTAGGGTGCCCTTTTTGGTGCGGATCCTGTTTTGGGGGAGACCCCCTGATTGATCACTGGGACGGTGTTATTCATCAGGAGTCGTTTTTTTCCCATGCTTGGCGGGACATCGGAAATGGTGGATGACTTTGCTACTAGGCTATGCCTAATCAAAGCTGGTATGACAGGAGTCTACCCACAACCCAAAATAAGAATGAAAAGACTTCTTGCCGCTCCGATTTCTGGCAAGAGGATGGAAGTCCCTTTGCAACCTTGCTCTACCCAGGTTTTGATTGCGGCTCAATTGGTACATGACTATCCCATTAGCAATGGCAACATTGTGGACCGCTTAAAACTGCGACCAATATTGACCAATCATGCACTAGTCCGGTTCAGGCCAGTCCTTTCGTAGAGGGTAGACAACCATTCTTGCGAAACCAACATGTTATTGTTGCTTCCGGGGTCCCGGATTTCGTTGTGTCCAAAATGGTGTTTGCAACCTTGTTTTGTGGTTAAGGGGAAGCTTCCATTTGGTTTTTCGGCCCCTGCAAAAAAACTAAACAAATATTTCCAGTAGTGAACTCGATTCCCTTTCAAACCACCAGGGGAAAATAAAACGTATTCATTTCAGCCAATGGAAGGAAGCCAACAGGAAACCGCCTTTTTTTGGGGGGGGAGGGGCCAAATGGCTGGCCTTTGGGGAGTGCCCCAAGGCCCCTGGGAACCGATTTGATCGGCTCCTTCAACTCCTTCGGTACCTCCAACTTTGGTTTTTTTCGGGACATCCCAAGAAGGAAAACCATGTTTCTTGGGTGCCTTACAAAGAAACGCACACCCATGTCTTTGTCCCATTTGCTTAAGCCCCCGGGAAAAATGAAAATATTGCCAGTAGTGATAGCTTCCCTGTAAAACCAACAAGGGAAAATAAACAATATTCATTTCAGCAAATGGAAGTCTTTGTTCTTATTTCTTGTGTCCGGGAAGAGAGTCGACCATTTCCACTCACCTGTTCAGCCTGACCCACCGAGCCCCGGGCATGGCGAGCGCTGCCAGCATTAGACCTGCCGTCTAAGGAACAAACCTCAGCCTAAGGGCAGGATGCCAAAAGGGCGCCAAAAGGGGTTTGTCTTGTATTTGAGCGTACACCCCCCCCACTCTTAAGACAAGATTTTGAGGGCATTCCCCAAATTGGTTCTTCCTATTTTGGAGACAGCATGGGTATGTGTCAAAGTAGGGACCCAGCCAAACGTTGGTTTTTCCTGCTGATTTCTCGATAAAACACCACCGCACAAATGGTGCGCTCAAGAAAAAGGCACCCAAATAGGGGGTCTGGAAGAATTCTTTCATGTGCGTTACAAATGTGGTGCTGCGGAGGCCTCTTGTTCTTTTCGGCGTGCTTGCGTAGATCGTGGCTAAAATTAATGTTGAAGCCCTCCAGGTGTACAGTAAAAAGGTGTATTGAGCCCCCTAGAAAAAACAAAAAAACAATATTTCCAGTAGTGATAAATTCCCTTTAAAACCAACAAGGGAACATTTCACACATATTCATTTTTTTGCAAATGGAAGACTACTTTGTGACACACTCCTTTGGGCACCCAGATTTTGGGCCTAGGGTGAAGGGACCAAGAACACATGGAGTGTCTCATGCCACTGATTTGTCAAGGGATGTCAAGGGCTTCACTTGAGTTTAAAAAGCCAACTGGAAAGGAGCATGTCTTTTGGAGGTTTGGGAGTTGCCTTCCCATTCGGCTGCAAGAACCAGGGGATCACCCCATCAAAATATCAAGGTCAGCTTGGGACTTTTTCTGCCCAGCGGACCAAACAACTAAAAACTTGCCTGAGGCGATACTACTCAGACCATACCCAGCGGTGCTATGACTTTTGCTGGAAAACACCCTCCAAATGGTGGACATGAAATAAAATATGCCCACCAAAGGTGTGCTCGCGATTCTTCCGGGATACACGTTGACTGGTTGCACTGGAAACCCAGCCGGTCCCCACCCCGCGAAGCAACGGCCTGCCAGAGGCCATCCTGCGCATAAGCGAGCTGGGCCGCAAAAACGCATAAGATGAAACCAGCACGGTGGATGCCCCGTTTGCTATACTGTGGATGGAAGAAATCCTGCAACACCAAAGAATCCCTGGAATGATGATTCCCCTCTAAATACCAACAAACAATGGCTTCTCATGGTTTCACCAGAGTACTGCAACTAAACCAACCATACATCGCAAAACCGTAGGCACAGTAAATTAGGGGGGTCCTTGTTCCCTTACTTGCAATATTTAGGGCATGCGCCGTAGAGCCACCTTCAATCTTGGAAGCAGATTCGCTGGGAGAAGGACCACGGAGCAGACCTGCCTACATGAGTGCTCGGCTGAACCGGAGAAAAGACAATTTCCCCAAAGCGAATGGAGTAACCTTGCCAAGATTCTTTGGGCACTGACCACCTGGGAGTAGTAAAGGGCCCCCCCCCTCCCCCCTAACAATGGGGGCACCTAGAAAAAAATCTTGGGCTCAAGTTCAACTGAGTTTCCATTTGATTTAGTATTGGCAAACGCTTTTGGGCCACCCGCTTGTCTTTATTCCACATCCATTTACAAATTCTAAGCGGACGTGAATTGTTTTGCGTGTGTGTGTGTATATATATATATATGGGTGTGGGTGTGGGTGTGGGTGTGGGTGGGTGCGTGCGTGTGTGCGCGCGCGCGCCCCCACACACATGGGCGGGTGGGCGTGTGCGCGCGTGCGTGTGCGTGTGCGTGTGTGTCAAATCCGGGAGCTTTTAAATGCTTGATTTCCCGGCATCCCGCTTCGACACACCCAATTGAGCAGTCAAAAACGATTGACACATGTCTTGAGTGGATTGGCCAACCAACGTCCAAACCTTTGGTTTGCCACTAAACTGCTCTTCTCAATTGGTATGCATAAAGTTCAACAACTCGAGGAGCGACAAATACCATGCTACAAAGGGTTGTGATGGGTCGTGTATAAAGGCTTAACTCTTGAACCTGTGGTTGTCCGGCAAGATCTGTCGTTCTGGGCAATGAAACCATCTCCTCAACAAAACGTAGGGGTAACCTGCTATTCCTACAATATGTTGTTGTGCGCGTGAATCTGCGTGGCTGATGGTCAAGCAAGAGATCAACTTTCTATCCTGTGCTTCCAAAGCGGACCCCTTTTGCGGAACACCAAAAAGGAGCCGCCCACTTGTAGGATACAACCTTCTCACTTCTCACTACCCCTGCTTCCTGAGTCACAATCAGACCTGGTATCACGGCATTCTGGCCATCCCCCACAGGACAGCATCAACAGGGCCGGTCGCAAACGTCCAATTCATTCGAAGTGACAATTGGACGCCCCTTCCTTGATGTCTGGGTGTCATTTGGAGGAGACCCCCCACCCAAAATGGTGGTTTTCCTTTTGGTTTCCCTTTAAAAACACCAAAGAAGACACGGGGACCCCCCTGCAAAGCAGTTTAACTTTTGGGGGTTTACTGGAAAACCCAAAAGTTAGAGTCTAAAGATCCAACCCAGTAGCAGTCAAGAGCCGAGCCACCCATCTGTTTGATCTCATGTTTGCATCGCCACCCCGTCCCTCCCACTCCTGGCATCTTGGCCTTGACCGGCGCACTGGCCTCGGGTTCTAGGCCTGGCGCAACAGATTCACCAAGGAACCCCGAAAACCTTCCATTTTTTGTTTAAAACATATTTGCAGTAGTGATAGATTCCCTTTAAAACCAACAGGGGAAATACAAACATATTCTTAAGCAAATGGAAGAAACCGTTCCAGATTTCGCTCTTTTCAGGTCCCATGTGGCTGTGGGTCAAGAATGGGTACTCAAAATGGAACCCAGGTAAATGGAAACAAACACTAAAACCTGCGTAACCCTAGCTCTTTGATTTTGAGCCACACCCATGTGAGAAACCGATTCCGAATTAAAATGGTCCAAGCCCAGAACCTATCAAGAAGGCGGCTGCAGCTATTTATGGTTGGGATTGTCCCTTACTAACCTTCATCTACCCGGGCTTTGCTTGTGGCTCATGTAAAACACTTGCAGGGGAGTGGTGTTTTTGGAAAAAAAAACATGCTGCAGATGGTTGCGACATGCAGAAATCCACAGAAAGAGACCCTGGTTTCTGATTCGATTCACCTGTAAATACCAACAAACAATGGTGTCCCATGTCTTCAACGTGGTGCGAAATGGAATTCGGCCCTCCACAGCACCCAGAAAACCCGCCAGTTTTAGCTCTAGGTGCCATGCGATTTTCAGCGGAATGTTTTGGACAGAAGAACTAAAGGAAACTCTGAGAGGGCCAACGTTTTTAAACCACTTTCTCGAATCCGCGAGAAAGGCCGCAATGTTGCGATTCTTGTTTTGCTCACTGGTTTGAGAGGTGTAGTCATGTGTTTGCTGTCTTTGTTGCAAGCCTCTTTTTATTATTATTCGAAGCGAGTTCAAAGGCTCCTCAGGCGTGTGTTTGCGCACCTGTGTCTCTCTGGGGGTGTGGAAACCACAGGGCCCCCTCGGTGGTCAGATGTTTCCTGCTGACTGTTGAAACGACAATGCCAGAGCCCGCACAAAGGTCGGAGGTGTCTGAAAATTGGGGGGCCTGCCTCCCTTGCTTGGTGCACGCGAGAAAGCTGACGGTCTCGCATATGGAAACACAACTGAAAACTGACATGTGTCCGAGTCACACCGGATGTGAAAGTCCAAGGCCCAAATGCGTGGATTTATTTCCATGAAGGAAAAACAGAATCGGCCTCCTTTTTTTGGTTGGTTGACTTGGGGGAATCCTTCCCCAAATATTCAGGGAACCACCACTGGGCTGAGGTGTACTCTCCGTCCCTCGCGAAGGTGCTTCCCTCCAGCGGCCTGACGTCTCCAGTCCTGCATGTGCCACACATACTGTGGGGGGGGGGGGGCGTTACCACATGCTGACAAACATAAATGACAGGTGAATTCAAATAGGGCAACTAAACAGCAAGATCAATCAAACAAATTAATACAACACAAACAAATCAATCCAGCAAACAAACACAAATCCATCTATAAACGCGTAACCAACAAATACACAAGTTAAAGCACATGTAAATGTCCACCCCGTGTCTGTTGGCAAGACAAACAGGATAATGAATCAGGTGGCTACATCATATTATTTCCCTTCGCTTTCCTTGTCACATCATATCACAAATCCAGAAAGAGAAACCAAATGACACAAATAATCATCCAACAATTTTTTCCTATTAATATTTGGATTGGTGAAAAGATGACCATGAGACACAAATAAAACCAAACAACAAAGACAATAAATAAAAGAAAAGAAAGGAAATCCATTAAAATCTAGACTTATATTATTTCTACTTTATTTTTTTTTACGGTATTATTTCATTCACTAGTTAAACATTGTAATCATAAAGGCTTAGGAATCTATTATTTATTATCTGGATTCATCTTTGGAATCTCCGGTACATTAATATCAGTCATTATAAGAATAGAATTATATTCATCAGGAAATCGGATGATATCTCCAGAAAACCAGAACTTCTATAATATAAGCATTACATTGCATGGCTTTCTTATGATCTTCTTTTTAGTAATGCCTGGCTTGTTTGGAGGATTCGGAAACTATTTTGTACCTATCTTCCAAGGATCTCCAGAAGTGGTATATCCTACAGTCAATAATTTTTCTTTCATAATTCTGTTACTTTCATATCTTTTCCTAATCCTTTCTTTTATCTCAGAATTTGGAGGTGGTACAGGATGGACATTATATCCACCATTATCCACTTCCTTTATGACTTTATCACCTTCAAGTACAGGACATCTTATATTAGGATTATTAATGTCTGGTATATCTTCATGTCTTACATCTCTTAACTTTTGGACAACAGTTCTAAATCTGAGATCCGGTTGACAGCCGGCCCACATGCATCCCACGTGCGTTAGGGATTGGCCTCAGATCCCCTTCTACAAGTTCAACTTTTGGTTGAATGAACCCCCTACTAAACTCTAAAACCCTAAACACCTAACCTAAGGAGCACCAAGATACATGGGGTGGGAAATAGAGTTCCTGAAAGATACATCCCAAATTGCCAGATTCATAAGGAGTCCCTCCTCGTAATCAGCAGGCAAACGTGATATTCCACATGGCCAGAACAGCTCCTTTTGCTCAGCCTGAAAAGGCGGCGGGGGCCTCCAACTTATACTTTGCATCATTTCGCCCCAATACAGGTTGGCGCCAAAAAGTCGCCCGAGTGCTCCTGCCCTCCTTGAAGCTTTTGGGACGACACATAATTCCTCGCAATCATCCGATTTTGTGTTTTTTCTCCCTCCCGCAATGTCTTAGAATTTGGACCCTGTGAACGAATCCAAGTTTTTGCCCTGCCCAAGGAAAAGCACCCATGTGTTGACCAGACGCAACATCGCTACAAAGCACCCACATGCTGCTGAAGGGAACCGCACAACGGCAAATGGCAAAATGATCAACAGGATCAGACAATGGTTTGGCCAAGCAATACGTCACTTGACTTCTCCTGCAGACATGACATCGACCCTGCAAATACTATGGCCGCCCACGCACACAAGCACACCAAACCAGGCCGGCAAACAAATGGATATCAAACGTACAACAACTGTATGCAGATTTCGCTAAACAAAACCACCACACGCGTTTTTGTTAAAGCAACACCACACAAAGCAACCAACCAGCCAACAAGAACCTAAGAAACAAGCTCCAGGAACATCTCCAACAAGCCAACCAAAACTCCTGAAATGTTCCTGGACTTTTTGCTTAGAAAGACAGTACGCACCATCATCTCCCTACAGTCTTCGAAAAACAAAAAAAGAGGAAAAAAACAAACACACGTGTCTTGTTTAAGCAGACAGAAAAGCAGACGCCACCAACAACAACTCACATCTCCAGTGGCCATTGGGGAAACAGATCAAGCTTGTTTGCCACTACAGTAGTCCAAACCCAAAACGCTTAAAGCCCAGGAATGGGTTATGCAGCCCATTTTTGGGCTAAACATCCCAAACAGACTTACGAAGTCCTGCAGCACCTAAGAAACCCTGGCATGATGATTCGCCTGTGAAACAAAACAACGGTTTCCCATGGTTTCGAATGGTGCGAAATGGATTTTGTCCACCCACTGTACGTCAGGAAGCGAAACCAAATGGAATCGGGCACCGCTTGCAGTGGGAAGTGAAGAAACGAGTCTCCTGGGAGGTCAGGAGGGCCTTCTTCTGGCACACCTGCGACGCTTCTCTGGCGAAACTGCCGGGCCCCCAGGGGTTGAGTCGCTTGTAATGGTATTCGCCTGGAAAATGATGCAGCAAACAAATCTTTGGCTGGTTTGTGAGGGTTCACAGTCCAAGGGCGCCAAGGTTGGATAGGGTGCCAAGGTTGGACCGTTTCCGGCGCCCTTTGAGTCAAAGTCAGGCCCAAGAGCCTTCAGAGTACGTGGAACATATGCAACATCGTTCGAGAGGATGCGACTATGTTTTTTGGTGAACCAAGATGGCTCCTCAAACTGAGGACTCCGTTGTTCAAGGGAAGCGGACCACACAAAAACTCCTTTTTGGGGCAACATGCATACAAGTAGGCATTTCAATTGGCCCTTGGGTGGACGTAACTTACATGGGAGAAATCTATGGAGGGAGCTCCCCATCAAACAACATAGCCACACGCTTGCCCTTCCTATCACCCTCGGAAAGACTCCCTCGTACCCAGCTCAGAGTCAACCCATCACTCCGGGCAAACGTGTCTTTTGGTTTCCTTTCAAACACCATCATGAAGGGGCTCCTTGGTTTGACAGTCTGACAAATCCAGGGTGCGGGCATCTAAAAGGGAGATGCTATAATTGATTTCTGTTGGGCTTCTTTTGTGAATCTGCAATGGTTGCAATAATTGCAAAACCGAAAGCAAGCATTTACTTGATTTGGACAGGTAGGGCATACCCGGCGAAGACCTCGGAAAATGGCGGGGGGGGGGGGGGGCCGGTCACCCCATTTCGAATTCAACCAGTGGTTTCACAATCATTCCCGCAACACCTGCGCCTATTCACCAACTGCTGTCACATCATCAAATCAGGGCCCCAGTTTGCTTTCCAACCAAAAGACAACAAGGCAACAAATGAGCTCAGCCGGGCGAAAGCTAAAAGGCAACCGAAAACGGCAAGAGTGCAAGCAAATCCAAGCCAAATTTGCCCGCCTGATGAGGCCGCCACCTTGGATTTGGCTGCCTGCAAAAGAGGAAGCCGTGTGAACAATAGAAGCCGTGAGGACACAAAGCAAGGAACACACATGGACCCCATAGCTGACCATGCGGCTTGCCATAGTAAGACATGATTCCCATGCATTGCGCCATGCAATGACTTGACAAAACAATTTCCTGCAATGGAAGACTTGAGGCATCTGAATGATTTTGAGTAGGACGTATACTCATTTGTGCTGGTCAGGCTCGTTCCAACGACTGCAATATGATGATCTGGCCGGAGCAATGCACAAAAACATGACATACAACAAATGCAATGCAACCACAGATACATCATAATTTGCCCATTGACAATCTACACCCATGATTGGGCTTACCGGGGTTGCTCTCCCAAGCAAGTTGTCAGAAGGGAACTTCACCATATGGGTGTGGCTCAAAAATGGTACTCCTGTTATTCTACTTCCCAAGTCTGGAGTCTGTGAGCAACCCTGCTAGCCAAACCCCTGTGTCCAAACCTTCATATCTTCGACATGTGGGGGACAGCCAGGTCGTTTCCTTACAAAAAAAGCCACACCTAGTGTTTGTTGGCTAACTTGAAAGGGGCAAACGGGTCTCACAACGAGTCCATGCGGGAACACACCAAAAGTGGCTTGGGCGTGCTTGAAAAAGAAACGTCAACAAACCAGGGAACCAGCGGGTACCAAATCTTATCAGCAAAACGCGACGCACCGAAATGTGCGAGCCCAACACCCAAAAGGGCACAAGGGCCTTAACGGCAAATGATCAAATGGGTGTGTTTTAAAACGGGGGCCACCCCAAAATGGCTGCTTCACCTTTACTTCCCCTCTAAACCGAACCCCAAAGCGGGTTTCGACGCCCCGTTTGGCGTTTCCTCCGAGCCTGGAATGCTGAAGAGTGGCCCAGCTGGCCTTCCAATTGCCTGAGAGAAATCCACCGACCCAGGAAGGTGTCCTCTTTGGGTACCCGAGGCCCCCGGGGTACCTGGATCAGCGGGGACCCCATGCCAGGTATGTAAACCTACCCAGCTTAGGGGTCTGTTGGTTTTAAAGGGAAACCCAAAACAAATCAACCATTGTGGGAGCTCAACCATTTTGAGACGTGACTTCGGTCACGAGAGCAACACATATTCTTGTAAGTCCTCCGTAGCTTCTTGGACCGGCAATGTATGGCAATGAATCCCTGATCAAGGACAGTCTCTGACAAAGCGGCGTAAAAGGACATGCGAAAGACTAATTCCGAGTCTCGTGCAGTTTCATATCTTTGGCATCTTTATTCCGCCCAAGCAGCTCGTGTAGCTGCCGCGCATTTCTATGGGCTCACTGATAAGCATCAAACACTGCGTCGGCACATCCTGCCAATACTTTGAACATTGTCGCAAAGTAGGGTAACTCCCAGAACGAGACGCTGTGCTTTCTCGAGAATCCAATGGCGTTCATTCACTCAAGAAAGAAACCAACCAACCGCAAGCACAAATTACACATTCAGCAAATTGAAGGATTTGGTGGCAGTCAGCTAACGCCGCTCTCCCAGCAGTTCCCCTGAACATGCAGGAGGTAACAATCGCACAAGGATTTGTGTTTACCTGGCTCTGGAGTTGGCTGTACAAGCTCAATGCAAGACTTCCATCAAGCGTCGCGGGGTGTCCCATTTCAGCTCAGATTCTTCTATCCCAGAATTCCCTTTGATCAATCCGCATTGGCCAAGACCCGGACTTTTCCATACTGTTGCATTTTCCTTTTGTCTCTTTCTTGGCATCGGACATGGGCTGTATAGGACTCAAGTCACCAAGTCCAAACAAAGAACTCCGATCCATCGGTAGCGCTGAACAGCTCTGTAGGCAAATTTGGACACCAGCTTCAGTTTCCTTCCTACCAAGGTCCGCACTTCTCGATCTCTGAGCTACGGGCGAGATCCGTTCCTCCCTCTCGTGCAAGCTGCGCAGGAGGTCTTTGTTGGCTTGCTTCAGCCTGGAACTCGTTCGAAGGCGTGCGCGCAACTCTGTTTCTTCATGGCCAGGTCTGGGAACCTCCAGACCCCCGATTTCGAGGGGGGTTTAAAGGTTCCAAAGCCATGCCTTCGGGGACCCGTGCAGTTTTGGGAGTAGGTTCGAAACCCAGGTGAGCACTGAAGTGGGGTTAGTTGCCTAACAATCAGGGTGGACGTGGGTTGAACATCCATGGAAGCAACTTGAGGTTTTTGCACACGGATGGCTTCTTTCCTGCTTCAGCTGGCTCCTAAGCTTCCTAACACCCAGTCTGGCAGTTGGCGAGTGACGGAAAGATTTTCCTAAGAGGTAAATTGGCTTTACACTAAACAACTGATATTTCCCACTAAATGGGAAAAGTCACCTATGGTTATTTGGGGGCCAGGAATACTGATCATCCCAAGCATCGGTGGTCGTTAGCTCCATGCCCAGCAAAATCCATGAAGGACAGAATGGCACTGCTCCACTTCCAAGCAAGCAGCCACACCAATGATTGTTGACCAAAGACACCCCCTCCAAACAAGTCTGAGCTTGAGCTTGTTGTTCAACACCAAGAAACTTGGCACTGTTCGGCCTTATCCTATCACAGCCCTTTTTGAAAGGTGCGATTACCTGTTTTGGGGATTGCGGAGTCACTCTTTTGTGAAGTCAGTTGACCATCCTGACGACCAAATTCCCCCGATGCCTTTTCAGCTTATCCTGCGTGCTGGCGTGCACCGCCTGACACGGCCGTTAGGGGCCCTGCTGTGGTTGCGAAATCTACTTCGCACCGCCCAAGAAACCCTGCTTTCTGATCCGACTCCACTGCAAATTCCAAACAAACGTCATGGTTTCAACCATGGTTTCAAGTTTCCACCAAGGTTTCATCAAAGTGGTGCGCGATTTCTGGATTTTGCAAACACTCGCAGCATGTCGAAGGGGTCCCAAAAAGGAAGCCAAAGGGAGACCACCCATATTGCGGGGCTTCATTTTTGGCTTAGGAGGGTCCCCCATATTTCCTCCCAGACAAATCACCCCGCTGAAAAAAAGAGAACTTTGAACTTGACCACAAAGGTGATGTCCGCCGACGTTGTTGAGGCGTGTCGGATACTTAAGAGAGGATAGAGGATAACCCCCCCCCCCCCGCCCCACGTCAAATATGTAGGGTTTGGGGGGGGGAGGGCGCGGCAATTTGATGACGTTCCACTAAACGTAGTTTTCGGGGAGTCGCAAAACAGAGGTCCCAGGCTCGAATACCCCTGCCGGCTCTTTGCTCGTTTGGGTTTCCTGCCTCCTTTTGCCGAAAATCTGGAAAACTGTCCTTTTTGCAAAAACGCTGGAAAACCCGTGAAATAGGAAGTCGACATGACCGGAAAGAAAATAAAAGGGAAACAGAGAGGGGAACTGCAAGGGACATGAAAGGGACAGAAATGAAAACAAGGGGAGTGCAAGGGGAATGAAAGGGAAACAAAGGACAAGGAAACCAATCGGCACGACGGGAGATGTAGGGAAATGACTGGCAACGAAAGACCGGGACATACATGGAAAATGAAGCGGGCATACCAAGAAAGTGACAGGGACATGAAGGGGGAGTTGCAAGGACTGGAAGGGACATGACCAGGACATCATGGGAAACGTGAACAGGACATGAAGGGCATATCAAGGGGAAAGCCAGTAGTAAGCAGACAGTTCAGGGTCATGAAGGGGCAGTGCCCGGACATCGAGGGCAACTCAGGGGGAACGTGACGCTGCAATGCAAAGAGAGAGGCAGAGAGAGAGAGAGAGAGAGAGAGAGAGAGAGAGAGGGAGAGAGAGAGGGAGAGAGCGGGAGAGAGAGAAAGAGAGAGAGAGAGAGAGACAGAGACAGAGCCAGAGCCAGAGAAAGAGACAGACAGACAGACAGAGAGAGAGAGAGAGAGAGACAGAGAGAGAGAGAGAGACCAGACAGACAGAGAGAGAGAGAGAGAGAAAGACAGAGAGAAATAAAGAGAGAGAAAGAGAGAGAGAGAGAGAGAGAGAGACTAGGTCCTCCAGTAGAGAGGATAGAATAAGGGTAATTACCCTTTTTTCTGTAGAGGGGCGTGGACAGGAAGGAGACAGGGAGACAGAAAGAGACAAAGAGACAGAGAAACACAGAGACAGAGAGAGAGAGACTGGAGAGAGAGAGAGAGAGACTGAGAGGGAGAGGGAGATTGAGGAGAGAGAGGCTTGGGGAGATGGGGAGGATGGGGAGCAGAGGGAGGGAGAGAGGACGACAGAACACACGGGGGAGGAGACAAGAGAGAGAGGAAGAAGGAGAAAAGGGAGAGGACAATGTCGGCGGACTGAGCCGGAGGCTCTAAAGTTTCAAAGCAGTAACAAGGTGTGTAAGCGTATACATATGTATATATATATACACATGTATGTAGGAGTCCTCTTCCAGCTGACACGTCGAGAAAAGGTACCCGAACACGAAACTCTCTCACGGACTCCTGGTGACAGTTCCCGTGCCCGTTGCGTCGCGGCTCCGGGTTGGTAAAACCAGACACAAGGAAATTCGACAGGACATTGGCCAAATACCCCTAAACACAAGGATTTTTTCCTGTGTATGTTCCTGTAGCTGGTTTCTGGGAAAGTGCCACCAAGGAGCAGGCGGTGTGTAGAATCATTTCGCGGTGAGATGGAACCAAGCTGGCCAAATGCACATGACAACATGAGTCATCCTAGACTAACTGTCACAGAGGCACACGAAGTGAAATACGTAAAGCCTTGAATCAGCTTCCATGTTAGTAGATAAGCTCCCAAACAGATTGAACAATGATCAACTCAACAGGTCAGTCCCGCACACCACACTGCGGACTTGAACGGCAGGGACCCACCAATTCAAGCCGGGCTGGCTGCTAAAGACGTGTACTTTTGCAACACACTGCAAGGGTATCAACTCCTCTCGCGATGTATGGTTGCCTTACTTGCAGTTGAGATACCCACTGCCACACAATCACTGGATTGCTGGAATGATCCCTCTGCAAAAAGGTTTTTCACATTTTATGGGTTCAATGGGGAAAAACAACTGCTTCAACCAACAAAGTTTGAAAGTCCAGAGATATCCGTTGCCAAATAGCCATAACTCACTTCGGGCAAGGAATGACCTGTGTTTCAAGGAAGATCTTGGCGCCAGGAACCACCCAACCTGGTTGCAGGCAATCCGTGACTTTGTGACCCCATGCAGGCTGAGGAAGCGACTGGAATGTCTACAGGAAATTCGCCCAAGCCTTCAATTTGTTGAGGTGTTGGCTGGATTACTGCAGACATTTGTGTAGATAGCTTCACTAAAATATGTGATTAATCCAGTCAAAGGTTTTGGCGTGCCTGCTTTTCGAAGAGATCGGTCTGCAAAATCGCCGCCGCCTCTTCAAACGAGCGTCCTGGCACCATTTGGGGGTGCACCCCATTTTTTTGGTGGTTTTAAAGGGATTCCAAAAGGAAACCGGCTTTGCCGATTTTGTGGGTCCAACCTTTAAAACGACAGACCCAATTGTTTTGGGGAGGCTTGTAAATCCATGCCCAAACAAAAAGGGATTTAGAGGCTGCTACGCCTCCAGAAACAGTCGACCAAATAGTGGTCAGTGGTCTGGGCTGACTCTACGTGTTCGGACATGATTTGCATGGGGAGTTACAACCACCCACCCTTCCAAGGGTATTCCGCATCAGAAATTTCATCTGCAGCTTTCCGTTTTTGTACAACAAGTCAAGACCTGAAATGACAATTTCATCCTCAAGTTCTCCGGCCGACAAATCATGAGCCTTCGCTCCTTTTGCCCCGAATCGGTATGCCCACAAAAGATTGCCAGATTCTTCTGGCGAAGTCGCTGCATGCAAGTCCCGGATTTGAGGAGTTCTTGGATCCACTGCACATTACTTTGCAGATGGGCTCCCCCCAAGGATTCCTCCAAAACCAACGGTTTTGGGGGTTCCATGCTACTCTTCAGGAGTGTACCCCCCCTGATTGGTTTCCTTCGATCGGTCTGGTGGAACAGGTCATGTTCCAAGTGGCCAGCCAACTTGTATCCTTTCGGAGACCTGATGCCGTCGCTGCACGAAGGGCCACAGAACATTGCCGCTGCCACACTGCCACCACGGGGATCACAACCTAACTGCAGGGTTTCCCACCATATTTCCAGAGTATGTACCTTGAGTATGTACCTCTCAAAGTCTTTTGTGTTTCGGTCTTCTTTTCGTTCCCTTCATTCTGTGGGTAGCATGTTTGTGATATGGTACCTGCCTTGTGGATCTGATTAAGCCCCTCGAAGATATGGAGGCTTATATGTCACAGCAGGCGCACGTGCAGTGTTTCCACTTATATGGGTGTTTCTCAAATATTGGGTACCCTAAGGCAGACCAAAAGGAAACCGACCACCTCCCAAATTCTGCAAGTGACCCATAAGTCATTGTAACTTCCATGCCCCGTTTCCGAATGGACGTCTCGGGGCCCTTTCAAATGGTATTGCTGACTAGGGAGCCTGCAAACCTGATGCTTCAGCGCCGCCAACTGGCAAAGGGAGCATTTCAATTAAATAGTGGCTAAAGCGAGCCCATTGACCATTCAGGTCATGAACCTCCCATGAGTGTCTCTCAACATGGTGGACAGTTTTGGGGTTGGTATCGAAAGGGAAACCAAAAGCCCCACTTTGCCATTTTCGGAAATGGACCGCTTCCTATGCTTCTGGGGACTCCCCATTTTTGGGTGGTGTTCCTGTCAGTTTCCTTCAAAACCAAGGTGAACAAAGTTTAAAGGGTACCCTTGCTCCCACTAACATAGCATTTGTGGGAGGATACCTGCAAGATCAATTTCCTCTTCAAGGAACCCTTTGACAGGTTCCATGTTAGTGGGAGGGAGTGTAAACCAACTCCACAAAACCAAGAACCCTGGCTGGAGGGAGTGCTCCTGCCATCTGCTCCCTCTTCAGCTCCGGCCGGTGGGCCAGGTACGCCTACCACACGTGTGATCGATCCAACGGAGGGACGTTTTGATACGCAGAACTGTGCAAACGTGCATCGCAAATATGGCCATGGGTCAAGATCCCGTACCAAGTGCACCTACCAACCAAAATGGTACCATTGGATTTGACAACCACAGCCATCTGAGTTTCCAGCACCAAATGTGTCTATGGTATCTCTATCTGTCTATCCACCTGTCTATCTACCTTCTATCTAGCTGTCTATTTAGTCAACATATCTATCCATCTACTAATCCAATCTAAGCACGCTTCATCTAACATTTATAAATAGACATATAAATATGAATGTTGTCTAGGTCCTTCAGTGAACAGGGCAGAATAAGGGTACCCTTTTGTCTGTAGTCTATTTTAGTAGGGGAACCCTTCCCCAAAAAAAGCACATCCTATATTTTCGGGGTTCCAGAAACTGGCAAATGCTTCTGTACCTCGTGCGGGAGATCCGCGTGCGCAACTCCCTGGGTTGGGTGTCAATCTCCAGATGCCAATTGATGCCCTGCAGTTGAACATGTAAACGACACAACCGTTTCTCGGTTGCTTTCTGCACCCCTGCAAAAAGTTTAACTTTTAGTGGTTTAATGGAAAACCCACTAGTTGGCAAAAAGTTAAAGTCTTAACATCCAAGCAAAATTCAACAATGGTTTTACGGGAATGTTTTGAGAGGAAATGCTTTGAGACGAAATGTTTTGAGAGGAAATTTTCAAGATTTCCATTTTGAGGAGATTCTCCTAGAAGGGAGTGCTTGGGGTTCCATATTTTTGCGGGAATCCGAGTTTGGTCATTCACCAGCGGTATCTGCAAACGGGTTGCAACTTTCCAGTGCACCGCAATCTCAGGCTACGCCCAAATCCCCAAACTCTCGGGGTCCGATGGCTGGAAGGCGAGGTTGATTAACCAAGACACGTTGCTCTCTGTTTGCTTGCAGTCCCATCTTGAATAATTTCCAATTCCGTTTTTGTAAAACAAAAAACAACACCTGGACTATTTAGCGCACCCAGGTTAATGTGCGAAGTTGCCGTCAACGTTGACCTCAGGAAAATGCTCGGAAAATATTGCCACGATTCTTTTTGGGGGAGATCTGATTGACAAGGTCGTGGAGACCATCTAAGTCGCTCTTAAAGCAAGCAGGGGGTGCCCTGCCCAGGAACAAGCGCGGGTAATCCAAGAGATTCCCATTTGGGCGCTCATGTAACCCCCCTATAAACATACGTTTATATGTACATATGTATGTATATGTATATATATACATATATATATATATATACATATATATATATATATGTAACACACCCAACCACCACCAAGACACATGACAACAAAACCCCACGGAGATATCCCATGCGCTGCCCAGCGCCCGAGTCGCCTCAATGGCGCGCTGCAGGGCCACCAAAGGCATCAGCGTGGCAGAGGGCAGCTCTTGCCTCGAGCGCCCGTGGCTGGGAGCCCCGTGCGAGCCTTGAGGCCCGGATCGGAGCCCCAAAGACCTCCAATGGGGTCTTGGGCTCCCACTTCCATTTGCGACCCCTGGAAAGCATAAACATATGAAACATATATATATATATATGTCCTGTAGTGATAGATCCCAACTTTAAAACCAACAGGGGAACATACAAAAATAGTCTCGGTCCTCCAGTAGAGAGATTCGAATAAGTTGGTACCCGATCTCTTTTTAAATGTGGTAAAGTTGTTGGATCTGCTGCTGCCATTGCATGTACTGCATCAAATATATGTTGTAAACCATTCTTCTGTAGTCTATATTAGTAGGGGAACCCTCCCAACCAAAAAAGGGTAAAAGGGCACTACTGGGGGACCCAGTTGGGCGCCCCCCAGCTCGAAGCAATGCGGGGGGGGGGAGGTGGGCAATCTTCTAGCGGTTGATTCCTTTCCCATTCTTTTCAAGCATCGTTCTTTTCAAAAACGCATCGCTGTTTCCCCTAGGTTTCTAAGATGGTTTCCTGAAAAGAAGCATCCCTGGAAAGAATGGGGAAGGTACCCCCAGATTTCTGGGGGTGGGGGTGGGGGTTTGGGGTTTGGGTTTTGGGGGGAGGGAAGGTGGGGGTTGGGTTTGGCTTTCGGTGGGGTGGCCAAGCTTCTTTTGATAAGCCCCTCCGCCGTGCAACGAGGCAGTATGGACTTCTGATTCTGCCCCCCCGGCCCTCCCTATAGTGGTGTTTGCTTTTTTCTTTCTTTCCGGCGCACCGGAAGACACCCAGCCGCAAGCAAGGGTACCGCTTGCAATGGGTGGATTCCAAGGATCTAGCTTGCGCGAATTGCATCGGTGCTCCTCAGGCTCCGGGGCTCCGGATCGCGATGTCACATCCGGATGGATATCATTCGGCCCAGCGGTTGTACACATGACCGAAGTGCCGCTTCCTTTTTATTTCCTACCCGAAAAGCAGAAAGTCCAGGAACGGCAGTGAGCTATTTGCAAACAACTCAAGGGTTGACCCTTGCACCCCGAAACCACGCCGCTGAAGTTCCTTTGGGCTTTTGACAAAGCCCAGGGGGACCCACCAAGGCTAGAAAGGTGCCACTGGCCAATCGGGCATGGGCTACTCCAAGGGTAAAGGGCAAAACCACGCCGCACGTCTTGACACATCCTCTTGGTTCTCCTTCGGGAAGCCATACAAAAAGGGACAACCAAAGGGTGCCGCCACATACATATAAATAGATACAAAAATATGCATAATTATATATATATATATATATGTATATGTATATATATATATATAAATACGTATATGTGTATATGGATTTATATGACATATTATAACCAAGCTTGTTCTTTGCAAATAGAACGGCAACCAAAAGCATGTCCAGAAGCGAGGTCATGCCACCAAACTGGTCCAACCACCCCCAAAACCATTTCTGAAGTCCAAGACCTCGGTGAGCCCGGTGGAGTTATATCCGCTGAGCTCAAGTGAAGGTCGAGCAGCTAAAGCTTTCCTGCCCACCCCCACCCCCACCCACCAGAAAACGCTGGAAAATATGAGGGTCTTGCTGGATTTGGAGCCCCAAATGCATTTCCCCAAGCCCACCCCAGGCCCACCCCCCCCGGGCCCGGTGATGGGGGAGGTGATCCGGTGCCCTTCTTGCCGTCGCTCCCGGAACCACCTGGAGCGAAGCGCCGCATAGCGCCCGCGCCGAGCACGGAACCGGTGGCGTTCGGGGGGAAAAGCCGCGTTTTTGATGCGACAAAGGTGAAGGCTGAGATTCCGCGGGGTGCGTGGCTCCTGCTTTTTGTTTGACTCTTGCTTGGGGTGGGTTGGCTCAAGCTTGGTTTAGGATGGGTTTGAAGTCTTGATCTTGGGCTGGTCTTAGTGGCCTCGGAAAGCCGCTCAACGAGGAATGGCTTGCTTGAAGCGAAACGTGATATCTATTTGCAATGACGCGCGCTGTGGGGTACCTCACATTTTAGGAATGCTGAGAGAAAAGGGGGACGGGTCCAGCTTCTTAAACACTTTCAGTATGGATCGAATATTCAACACATACAGGGTTCAACAAAGCTTCAACCCACGGTGTGCAGATCTTGTGGTTGAGTCGATAGGCCTGGACACATTTTCAACACCGAGATGCTGGAAAAAAAACTGTTGATGCGCTTGACATTGAAATAGATCGCAAACCAGATAGCACCCATCTTTTCTTTCAACACACATACACACACACACACACATTGAGAATCGCCTGTCAACGTACCCCTGGAAATCAACAACTTGCGAAGAATACCTCGGCGTTCAACCAAGCAGGTGAACCGAGGGGACACCTGGCGGTCAATTCGCTTTTGGACTACTCAGGAGTGCTTTGTGACAAATCAGCGCCGCCGCAGCCCGCAAAATAGTTTACGAGCATGCCAACACATATTTAGCACGCCAATGTCACGGGGGAAACAACCAAAGGCCCTGCCACAGGAAAGAGTCTTGGGACCATCCTGGAAGGGGCTGTTAGTGAGCCAACCAAAGCGGCATAGGGATCTGGACCCTGCATCCTGTGATCCCTCGTGGCAAGTAAACAAACCAGAACAACAGGCAAACTTATATTTCCTGTGACAAGGGATGCCCTTTGAAGACAGCTTGGAGGACTACAAACCAGGTAGACCCACCGCTTGACAGGGTACTGGCCCCCAACTTAAGGAAGTCCCCACGTTGCTAGGGAATGCACAGGAACGTCGCTAGAGCGACATGTTGGAGCCTTCCTTCGTCAGATTCGCTGTTGGAGAGAGGGTAGCTGAACGCAGGAAGACGTCAGAATAGTCTCCAAGCAACATGGCTCTCCCATGTATCCAAGGAGAAAAAGGTGCTGTCTAAACCACTTGAGGGACTTATAGCGACCCCTGAGCAACGCAACAGCCGCCTCTCGATGTAACTCCGCTCATAGACGGAGCCATCCACTGTGGCAACAGGGTCCACCTGTGTGGCTGAATCCATCTCTGTGGGTGTGTTTATTGAGGGAAACCGAACGAACACCGTTGCAGTTTGTTTGTGTCTAAGCACCAATTTTGTGACATACCGTTGTTTCCGCGAATTGTTCAACATCGCTGATAGATTTGTGGATTTGCCCGGGTTTTCCATTTGAGAGCGCGTTTCTTTCCTAGGTTGACCTTGGCCAATGGAAATAGTGGACCCTATGACAGAAACCTTTATTGTGTGTGTGGCGTCGCAATCCCCGACATGGCCATATGCTACATCGGTCCACTAGCAGTTGGTTCAGAAGCAAACACGGGAGGGGTAAAAATCCACCACTCCCAATGTGTGCACTGCCCTCTTCGTTTGTGTGCCTTGTTGTGTACGTGCTGTGATTGAGAAGCGGTGCGCGTCAAAATCGGAGGGTCCCCAAATTGGCATCGGTTTTCCTCGCGCGAAAGTACTTTCGAAAAACATACGCCCGTAGGTTTCTTTGGGCTCCATCGTTGGAACGCGCGGACGCCCTGGCAAGGGGCAGCATCTCTCACCAGCTCTCAGATTGCTTTGTTGCTTCTGAGTGTGCTTCCTTGGCCGTTTGATCAGGCCGTTTTTTTCGAAGAAACTCATTGAACATGGTTTTAAACAGAAAACAAAAGGACACCGTTGCCTGGGGTTCTCCCACTCTTTTGTAGGGGGATAAGAATCCTCCGCTTCCAGCACAAAGGATCAGCGGCGTATGGTGTGTACTCCATGGGGGAACACCCTAATCTCTGCTTTTGATTAATAAAACCTCCCGCAATAAAATATTTTTCGGATTTCCCAAATCGTTGCCAATACTAAAATACAAGCAGCCAATACTTACCATAAGATGTGGGTCTCAACCATGCCTGCCCCAGTACCACAAAACCCCACACTAAAAGAAAACAAAAAAATCCAACACCGTTGCCTTACTAAACTAGAGACAGGCAATACTAAACCTACTTGAAACTCACCAGGTCAGCCTGCAAACTGCCCTTGCTGAAATGCCTGCAGCTCAACCACCCCACCTACAATAATAAACAACCTCCACAATTAAAGAAACAACTTTCTGAATGCCATCATGTGTACCTTACTAAATTACAAACAGGCAATACTACACCCTGCATGCCCACCAAGCCTGCTTTATGAAGACTTTTGGAGAACATGGTTGGTGTAGGGTGCCAAATCTAAGAATTGTTGATCAGTAATTAAGGGGCTAACAGCTGAGGGCTCCTTGGCTGCTACTTTTCATGCGTTCAAGAAAAAGCATAACTTTCAAGCGCCCCAGAAGCAAAAACAGCAGCTTGGAGTCGAGCCCGTGCGGGACCTTAAAAACGCGATTTCGTAGAAGGCCGCTTTTCTTACAAAAGGATCAATAGCGCAATGGATAAGGCCTCGGCCTCCGAAGCCTAACAATCTCGAGCTCAAATCCTTAGTTCCTGGTGCTGCCGTTGGGGGACTGCTTCGTGCAGCTTGTTGCTGGCTGGGTGTGCTTGGGCCTGGTGGCTTGGGTGCGGCTTGTGTGGTGGCTTGGCCTGGTGGCTTGGGTTTGTGGTTTGGGTTGGTGCTTGGGCTGGTGGCTTGGGTTTGTGGCTTGGGCTGGTGGTTTGGGTCCTACCACCAGCCCATGCAAAGGTGGTGATATTCAGCATGGGCTGTCATGGCATGGTGCTCCTTTAAAATAATAGTGCACCCACAATGGTTCGGCATGGTGCATCCCTTTTATAATAATGCTTTTCACCATGTCAAAAAAACAGGGTTGCCACAGGCAACTGCAAAGCCCGGCTCCCAGCCTTCTGCCTAAACACATGCAAGCAGGAATTGCTACCCAACACATCAACCAGCTTGAGCTGCAACATCACCCTTGCCACTACACCACCGCCACCACATCCTGGCAGCATCATCTTTATATATCACAATCATCAACATCACCATCATCAACATCACTGCAGCTTTTCATTCGTTCCCACATCATCATCACTATGATGTTGCTGCATCACAGAAGCCATTACCTTCCTTCAGCATCATCATAATTGCCTCCAGTTTCACACCCCACCACTCCCAGCAGGGAAGGAAGGCTGCCCAGTGGCCCGTGCTGGGCCTCCCTTGTAGCCTTTGGTTGTTTTGTGGGGTGCGCTTCTCTTGCCGGGTCAATAGCCTAATGGGTAAGGCGTCGGGGCCCCGAAGCCTGGCCAGATGGTTGTTGATGCATGCGCGGGCTGCAGTTGCGAACCCCACAGTTCAGCAAACAAGGGGGCTTTCTATGGCCTATGCGTCCGGTGAAGTCCCAGTCGATCTACGGGGCGCGCGCATCAGCCCTTGAGGCCACCGGCTTGCTCTCGCATCGCAAAAGTGCGATCGACGTTGCTCCCACAGGTCCAATGTGCCAGGGATTGCTAAAGATGTCGCAGAAGGAAAAGATGCACAGAGCGCATGCGCAAAGTGCGCAAAGCCAGTCCTAAGGAATTTTCAAGGCCAAGCAATTTCAAGGCCGTAGTATAGCAAAGCTGCCAGCTGGTCTGTTGCAGCTGGGCCTTCACGGCTCCAGGATACTTTGGCAGTGCTCGGTTTTGGCACGCTCTCATCGTGCCTCAGTCATTGAAACGGCTCAAGCGGGCACGACGTGTAGGAGTTGACAGCTCGCAGTTGGCCTGTCAGTCTGTTATGCGCTTGCAATGCGCAGTAATCGTTTGTGGTTAGTTGGTCTGGAACTCTGACACCACCAAAATGCAGACATATGCAACAGGATCACAAGCTCGAATCCCGGAGCCGCTGTTGTGGCAAAACCTCAATTCCTGGTGCTGCCTGCCTTTGGGGGAATGCTTGGTGCAGCTTGTTGCTGTGGTCTGGGGTGGTTTGGGTTGGTGGTTTGGGTTGGCGGTTTGGGTTGGTGGTTTGGGCTGGTGGCTTGGGGGCTTGGGCTGGTTGGTGGCTTGGGGGTTGGTGGTTTGGGTTGGTGGCATTTCCAAGTGCAGGCCAGGGTGGGTGGCCCAATTCCCAAGCTAAAGCCTTAAGCTTTGCAGACATTTCAAAACCAAGGCCCACCAAAACTTGGATTTTCTAGATGCGGCATGGTGACCAGCCCAGCAGGTAGTTCTCCAATAGCACCCCCCTAGAATAATAATGTCACCCACAACAATGTCAAACAACACCAGCCCACCAAGTCCTAATGCCAAGTTCCCAAGCTAAAGCCTTAAGCTTTGCAGCAATTTCATAATCAAGGCCCACCAAAACTTGGATTTTTTAGATGCCAGCCTGTACTCAGACATTGGCACTTTCATGCTGGCATGGTGACCAGCCCAGCAAGAAATTTTCAAATAGCCAACATGTTCCACTTACTAAACTACAGACAGGAAATACGAATGGACATTCACCAGGTAAGCTTGCAGAGTGCCCTTGTTCACCTGCCTGCAGCTTAGCCATTCCACCTACATTAAAAAACACCCCCCACAATTAAAGAAACACATTTCTGACAGCAAACATGTTCCCTTTACTAAACTACAGACAGGAAATACTAAACTAAACCAAATTGAAATGCACCAGGTAAGCTTGCAAAGTGCCCTTGTTCACCTGCCTGCAGCTTAACCATTCCACCTACATTAATAAACACCCCCCCACAATTAAAGAAAGTCGGTCCCAGCCCCAGAAAACTCAAAAAGCAGAAGCCCTGGCACTAAAACAATTTGAAACTCACCATCCTAGAGACCCACCCCCAAGCCCAACCTCCCCCCCACAAGAATTCCAAACCTCCAAACCCAGCATGTTATTTTGGGGGGGGGGGGGGCGGGTGGGGGGGGACCCCCTTACTAATCAAAAGCAAAGATTGATCCATCATGCACATATTATTTGGGAAAACAATGGGTAGTCCTCAGTTCACATGTTGACTTTGTTAGTTCCCACCCGTCCCCAGCAAACTTGACTTGGTGCCTTTCTGATCTCAAACTTTGAAGGATGCAACCCATTTGATATCCCCTTAAGGCGGCACAAGGAGGCACCAGGGTTCGACCGGGGGCCCATATTTTTGACAGCCCCTCACGGCCGAGCAAAATTGCAAGTGAAACCAGCAAAGCGTCGAAGGCAGGAACAACTTCCCCGATGTGGTTGATCAAAAGGTCCTTTCCCTGGGATGACCATTATCGGTTGGAAAACCACTAAACCGATTTGATATTTCAACTTCTAACTGGGAAAAGCTACCCATGGTCATGGCTGGGGGCCCTAAACGGAATATTGATCAACCCCCAGATCTCGCTCGAGTCCCTCACCATGATGGCAGCAGCGATGGGGCATACCTCGGGCGCTGCGATCTTACAGGCGATACTGACGGACGAAATCCTGCTGAGAAACTTTGGTTTCTGATGATTTTTTGTAAACATCAAACACACCATGGGATCCTATGGTTTCAAAGTGGTGCGAAATGGACTTCGTCCATCGGTAGAGTGCTTCTCAAACTGGTGGACCCCCGTTTGGTAGATATCTAAAGGGAAACTAGAAGGAAACCATACATTCTTAGGGGGCCATGTTGTGTCTTTTTTGAGGAAACTGTTGGCTTTTCAAAGGGACTCGATTGTAGGTCTATGAATTGGTTGGCAGATTTGCGGAACACTCATCCTTTGGCAGGATACAACTAAAACAAGGGACAAAGACAACATTGAAAAAAACACATCAACATGGGAACATCGGAGAGATTTGTTTGGCTCTACTTGGCATGTGCCGGAATAGGGGGCCCCACAAATGGATATTTGTCTGTTGGTTTCCCTTTTCTATACCGACCCCAAAAGGAAAACTTCCAAAACATACAATCGTCACTTGATTATGCGTTAACATACTAGAGCCGAACGTACTCAATTTGAGGATCAGGACGACATGAGCCTCAAGAGGACATGTGAAGAGGGTGGGTCCCCCGATTTTTGTGGAACGTTTGGCGCTCTCGTCCTGCCCAAATCAACGCCAGAGAGTCCAACATTCGGTCAGTTGCTCACATCAGATTTATTTTAATGTCAGCTGCTCTTGGATATGCCTCCTAGACATCTGAAGTATTCAAGCAGAAAGGATCGCTCAAACAACTGACCATGTCCCAGTTGTTCAGTGATTCGAAAGGTCGAAGAACGGAGCCCTTCTTTGTGCTTGCCCGTTTTCCGTGGGGTTCCACCAAGCAGGGGAAAAAGGGTGCCATTGAACCACCGGCATGTTATGATGTTACCAGGTACCACAAAAACCCATGCGGGACCGAAGAAATAATAACACCGACTACTATTAAGGGGCCCAAAACCGACACCCTGGTGATATCTTCCGCTGCGACTGACAGGTGGAATGCTTAACTTCCCTGGCTTGCACAATATGTGTGCTGGATGAACATGCACGCTTTGGCTGCGAAGGAAAAGTCCATTGAATCAGCTAAGTTTGAGCAAGTCAGAAGGAACTGTCGTACTCCCAGAGAGATTGACACAGAACGCATGAGGAAAACAAGATGGTCATGTAAAACATCCCACAACTCGCCGGCCTCAGGACGGGCAGGGTCAAAAGGCCGTGGCTGACTGAACGGTGTATCAAAGCTTCCCTTTTTGAAGGGAGAGTCGTCACCAATCATGGATGTAGCCGCCTGGGTTTTGGGTTCACTATTTTGGTACCAGGTTTGAATGTGATGAATTTTCATTTGTTGGAACACAGCAGTGGCGAACGTTTCAATAGAAGCCACCCGTCAGTTGCAACGGTTGACGGGGACTTCCAGCCGTCAAGTCCTGGACAATAGGAAAAGCCAACAGCCTTTGGGGCGGGGACAATTCACGGAAGAGCCCTGGCCAATCCCAAAAAATCGTGTGGGGACTTTTGGAGAAAATTCCATGGACGTGAGACAATCTTGATGCTTGAGGTGAGCTTCTTGGACCAAACAACTGCCACGTCAGCTCGGAAAGCTTTCCGAGCTCGCGGCGAAGCTGTCAGGCACCGGCATCAGGCGCACTGCATGGTCCTGCAGAAGTTGAATTTTCGGCCGGCCAAACGCCATTTTTATTTTTTTCAGGTCTTGGTTTCCCTTGAAACGCACAAAAAAGGGGTACCCTCAAAAAGAGACACACCCCTTCATTTGCTGGATTCTGGTCCGTCTGTGAAGATTGAAGTGACATACCACTAAAACTGTCTTCAACAAGTTTTAAATCCAGGAACTCAGACAGTGAGTTGTCTTTGTGGTATGATGTCAAAAGGGAACCCACTCTAAACAATGCTGGATTTTGGCAAGTGCCGCTGCCCAAGTGGCTTTTGGAGCATCGTATAATTCTTTGGGACCTTCCTTTAGGGAAACCCTACAAACGGCTTTGAGGAAACACCACGTTCTACTGTCCTTCCAAACAGAAAGGGAAACCACTGCCAGCTAATGAGTCTTTTCCTTTGGGTTCCCTTGTAACAGGCAGCAAAGGGTTCGCGACGAAAAAGACCCACCCGAACGCTAGTGACTTTTCACCGGGGCACTTCGAAAACGGCTGGTCGCTGCCCATCCAAATTCCCCCAAAGATCTGCAAAACGGGACCCCACAAGATGTTCCGCACCTTCTTTTGGATGCTCGGCATGGGCCACCCATTTAATGAAATCATTTTGAGGGTACACGTGTACACAACAAATATGGCCCCCTCCCACGTCTTAAGCGTTCCTCACAAAGCACGCAAGATCATGCGCGTGTCATTTTGCCGGAGTCGCGAGGTCGCACTTCACAGCTACCATTCTTGTCTTGCTAGGGCAATGAGAGAATGAACCCAGGGTGCCCTTAAAGGAAAGGGGATAGGGTCATTCCCTCATTCCCTGCTGAGAACCAGCAAGTTTTGCCCGAGGACTGCGAAGACCCTATGAATGCGCGCGCCTAGGCGCTCGCATCTATGCGGGCCAAAGAGATTAGCGGCTACAAGGGTCCAAACAGTTCAGAACGGGGTGGATCAATTCAAGACCAAAAGTCATGATAGGAGCTGATAACGTTAGCAAGCATCTACTTAGACGGGATCCTTCAATATTTGAGTTCGACATTGAGACGTGGGTCACCTCAAATCCATTTCTGGAGGACTCAGCCGTATTGGTGGACCCTCTTTGCAGCATTCAACACCCGCCAAACATCCACCTCCTCCACCCCCCCCAACACCCAAACAGAGGGCCTTCGATCGAACCTGGGTCTGTGTGTGCTTTTTGCCTTTAAGGAAGCCCAAACAAAAGCCACCCAGTTTTGGGGTTCCCGATTCAGGCAACCCTGAATTGGTGTTTCGGATTTCATTTCGGATCTGCACCCCTGGTTCTTGCAAGGGGAAACTGGGAAACTCCGGGAACACCTCCAAAGCAGCAACTCAGTTGCCCGAACCTTCAACTGAGTTGCTTCACGAATGGACAAAACCCGCAAAAACCAACAGGTTGCTTCCTTGATGTTGGTTCCAATGTCTAAGATGACTTCCACTACCCCCACACCACTACGCCTAGGGGCAATGAGGGTGTATACCCTTTAGTGGCTATACCGGAAAATACATTGTTGCTGCAACGACCCCTCTGCAAAAAGTGTCACTTTTCGCGGGTCCACTTCCCAAAAAGTGAAAGTCCAAAGACCCGTTACCAAGTAGCCATAACTCACTTCCTAAGTATCCAACAAAAACAACTCACACTTTTGGCTTGCCAACCCAAAACTGTCCAACCCAAGTCACTTCTCAAGTCCACGAACCCAAGTGATGAAAAACCTTCGGCGCATCGGGAAACAAACCCGGATCGAAAAATCGCACTCCTCGTGTGGATTTCCTTCCATTTCCGAAAGCCGCCGCAAAAAAGAAAGAAAGAACAAATTTAGTAGTAATGAATACCCTTTTAAAACCAACAAGGGAGAAACAAAAACACATATTCTTAAGCACATGGACGTTTTTTTTCTTTTTCTCTATGTATATATAACCAACAAGGGAAACAAAAACACACATTCTTAAGCACATGGAAGAACATATATATATTTATTTATAATATTTCCCCCCCCCCCCACCATAAACATCAACCCATGTATGAATCCGGTGTTATAAATATGACACCCAAACCAGCATGTGAGGAACCTCCCTTCGGGGTCTCCTCGTCCAGGATATCGGACTCCAGAGAGAAGCACCGCGCCGCGCCCTCTCCCCAGTGCTCCCCATACCTTAGAGCTCGGCTTTGGTTTTTTGGTTTCTGGACCTACGGGAGTTGAAAAAGCGGTCCAATGAACTGTTTAGTTTGATTCTTTTGTTTGTTTGAAAAAAAGAGACGAAAGGTTCTCATCATGAGCTGCTTAGTGTTTGATTTTTCTGCTTCTTTCACGTCTGAACCCAAACACAAAATTATACGGATGGTGTGTCGGTGCCACGGGAAGCCAGGGATGGTTCGTAAGTTGGAATGAGCCGACACCAAAGACAAGCCCACAGACGAAGTCTTTGCTGGAAATTCTTGGAAACCAGCTTTAAGCCATTGGAAGCTACCGACCATTCGACAACTTAGATTTCATTGGGAATCACTGGGAGCCACCCCTCTAAGCGAACGAGCAACATATTTCACCTCAGGTTAAATGAAACCACCATTGAATTGTTGTGTCCCAACTCAGCTAAACATCGACGAGGATGAAGGGACGTGGCATGCAGATGCGGCAGCAGATTCTTTGTGCAACGAGCAAGCTCCCGCAGTAGCACCTTATAGCAGAGCAGACATTGCCACCTGGGTTGTTGACACAGGTGTCCTTTTGGAAAAATAGATGGCCCTTGTAAATGGAATGAAACCAATTTCAACCAGTGCCACCAAAAAAGGACACCTCTGCTTGTTGAAATCGTTTCTCCTGGAGCGGGTTGAGTGGTTGTCTGGTTCCTTAACCAAAGCTGGAGACAGAGGAAGCCAGGCTTCCTAGGTTAGCTGCTGAAACATGCTGTGGGTGGACAAAATCCATTTCGCACCATTTGAAACCATGGGAACCCGTTGCTTGTTGGTATTGTCATCATGCCAGGGTTTCCTAGGTGGTGCGAAATGGATTTTGTCCATCCACAGTATAGGAAGCGAGGGGTGGCCATGGATGGCCTTGGAATGGGAAGAGTTTGCAATGCGCCAAGTGGCAGCTGGTGAGGCATAGAGAGAACCTAGCTGAGGCAGGGCTGAGGTGCACAGGAAGAGCCAGCCAGTTGGCTGAGTTATTGCACAAAAATAATACTACACGCACACTCTTGCCTTCTTAAGCCAGGCAGGCGGAAGTGTGTATGTGGTGCCCTTTGTTCAAGGCTGAGAGGACCTCGTAAACCGAGACGGCGGGTTGCTCAGCAACAATTTGAGAAGACCTTGTAAACGAGACGGCGAGCAAGGCAAGACATTGCCTGGTTTTGTGCAACAAAGACAAAAAAACGAGAGGCCCCTTTGGGGCTAGCTACTCACTTCCTGAGTGGATAGCACAACAAAACTACCTGTTTTTCTTTACTTGCCACTCAAATGGAAACCACACCCAAAAAGGCGCCTGAAGTCTTTCATTTGGTTAAGACCCCTGGAAAAAAAATGTCCAGTAGTGAGAGATTCCGTTTAAAATCAACAGGATAAATTAAAACATATTCTAGGTCGTCCAGTAGAGAGGTTAGAATAAGGGTACCCTGTTTTCTGTAGTCTATTTTAGTAGGGGAACCCTCCCCCAAAAAAGGGTGAGAAAGGGCACTACTGGGGGACCTAGCATTCATTAAGCAAATGGAAGAAGTCCATGAACTCCGGAAGTGAGACACCGCGGTCACACCGGCGCTTCGCTTCGCCCAGACTCCAAACCCATTTCAAGCCGCCCGAAAGCGAAAGCTCCGCCGATTCCGCGTCCGAGGCATGGGCTGGGCGTGGCATGTCTCGCCGGACCAGGCCATTACCTGGGACGGTTTTCTTAGAGCCGTTGGCCGTTGGCCGTTGGGCCGTTTGGGGGACACTCCCCCAGGGATTCGAATCTTTTCAGGGATCCGAATATCTTTCCAGAAAACCATCAATGGAAACAGCGATCCGTTTTTGAAAAGAACGACGGTTGAAAAGAATGGTTGGAATGAACGCCTACACGTTTGGCCTCCGTTTTGGGAAACTCAGATGCCCAGAATATTTCCATGGGAAAACAGGGCATCCGTTTTGGTTGGGTGACTTTAAGGGGGAACCCTTCCCCAAAAAAGGATGCCCAGTGGCCATGGGAAAAAAGGGCAGTTTTTTTTGGTTGGTTGACTTTAAGGAGGAACCCTTCCAAAAAAAAGGGGGAAAAAGGGCACCACTGGGCAACGCCGTTTTCTAGGGGACACTCCCCCATTCTTTCCAGGGATCCTTGTTTCCGCAACACCATCAGAACCCCAGGGGAAACAGCTGGTTTTGGAAAAGAACCATGGTTGAGAAGAATGGGGAATGAACCCCTCGACGTTAGGCCTCCGTTTTGGAAAGTCAAGCATGGGGTATTTGGCACCCAGATAGAAAGATAGCCCCATTTCTGTCCCTGCAGCCAACCATGGGTACCCACCAAAACGAAACGCCCCCCTCCTGAAACACCTGGGCCCTGCCAGGGTAGCAAATCGGATTTCGGACGAAGCCAACACCGAATGTCCATCCTGGTTTTCAGCTGGCAAGTTGGGGATTGGATTCCAAAGGTCCCCTTCGAACCCGAGGGGTAGGGGGATTCTCTTCACCAAAAGGTAGCAGGGAGCCATGGAACAGGGATCCGAATGCAGGAAAAACACCTGAACACAGTCGGCAACCGGTAAATGGCGGGTGTCCATTTCTTTATTCAAAGGTGTTGAAAAAGCTTTTGGCGTTGCAAAAACTGTTGGTGTTGAAAAAGCTTTTGGTGTTGAAAAAGCCACGTGTTTCAAGTGGTTGCAACATGTATCCTTTCTTTTAAGGAGCCCTGTGGAACGGGCAATTCACCCCGCGGAACCAAAGCCAGGGTAATTCCCAAGGAACCCGAAGCACTCCCGGGGCGCGGGGAAAAAAAGGCGGGGGGGGGGGGGGGGTGAACCAAACGAGAAGCCGAAGAAAACGGCGTGCCCCGTGGAAAAAGCGTTTTTTTTTCGACGACCAGACGACCACGCCCGCCCAACCTCCCAAAGATCGAGGTGAGGGAGAATCGAGAAACAAGCAAAGGGAGGGGTAAAGGATGAAAATATGGGTGAGGATGGAGGCTTGGCTCGGGATTGAGTGAGCTCTGTGGACTGCTGGGTTTCGGGTAGGTTTGGTTGGGGGCTGGAGCGGATCCAGGGTGTTTTTGACTTGCTGCTCAGGGAATGTGGGAATGCTCCGAAACTGAACCATCCCTAGTTTCATCTAACTTCCATTTGCATAAGCCCTGGAAATAACCTATTTTCCCATCAGCGCTAGATTCCCCTGAAAACCGAGCGGGAAACTCACGTATCTTCTTGAGCAAATGGAAGCTAAGTTTCACGACAGGGTACTTCCCAAACTCCCTCAATTGATTCCCGATCGAGCCAGCAATGGGGTTGCTCCAGTTTTGGCTGAGTGCCTTTGGAGGTTCGTGATTTCATTGCCCGGGAGTGGCGCTACACTTGTCATTGGATCCAAAAACTGAGAGGGGCTTCAAGTGAAACGACACAAAGTTGTTCCGTCCTTGAGAAATGTGAATTGTATCTAGCATTGGTCCATAGACCAAACTGAAATCCGCTTTGCGCATCCCCTGTTCAAGGCCACCTCAATTTGAGGATTTCGTGTAAGTGGGTTGGGTTGAGGCTTTGGGTTAAGGCTTTGGCTTTGGGCAGCTGATTTTGACAGCTTTGGGGTTGACATCGCCCCAATGAAAGGAACATCTGTTTGTTGTGATCTTAACACTGCTTTTGGCCCCTTCTTTGCATTCCTTTTCACCCTGTCCCAAACTCATCCGGAATCCAATACTCACAAACTGTCCAAACCTCCGTGGCTCATTGCTATTTTGTTTCAAGCGCAGTTGCAGCTGGGTTTCACATGCAATCGAGTCACCTCTCGTCGTGGCCGAAGCCGGCCATCAGGCGACCAGGATGGCTGTGACTTTGGAACAGCCAAACAGCTGGATGCTGCAAGCTCTTCGCCTGCGAACTGATCGCAGCTGGTCGCGAACTCGCGCACTTCGCAGGCTTCTTGAATCAACAACAGCCAGGCTCGCGGAACTGTTCAGCTGGGATGTGACTTGCCAAGCTAAGATCTGGAGCCAGGGCGGCTGGCAACTTAAGAGCCACGCATGGGTAAGACCTCGTCTGTCCCTGAAGCAAACCCAACCAAAGGTACCATCAAAAACACTTCTCCCTACTTGGGAACCCTGTCATGGTCTGGAAAAGCAAACAAGCCTCAAACATTACAGGGCTCCACTCAATCTCAATTTTGCGAGCCTTGTGGCCTAAGTGCTCTGATAAACCCATGGTCAGCGTGGCCGGTGACAAGTGGGGCGAATCTGGAGGGTCTCAGCTGAAAGCAAACCAAAATCTCTGGGGGTTCGGCTGCAAACCAAAGGGACACCACTCACAAACGGGGGGCTCCTGAACTCCCGACGTGGGCCCAAATTCCATAGCAACTTGGTCTTTGAGTTGTTGCAAGGCATGAGTCTGAGTGAATCATATGTCAATCATCAACCTGAAATATCGACTTTTATAATTTTGTTTAACAACAAACCACCAGGAAAGGAAGCTTCAACAGGGAGGTTGCAACAAAAACGGCGACATTGTTGCTGCACATTTGCCCCAGGAAGCTTTCTGCGCAACCCTTCTTCATGCGGGCACCTTGAAACCTTGAGGCAAGGAGGGGAGGATTTCCCTACTCCAAACACCAGAAAATGGACACCCTGAATGGACCGGCCAAACACTTAGCTAATCACAACTGGGCAAATCCACGACTCAGGATGCGCAAGCCAAATTTGAAGCTGCATTCAGGCATTCCAGCAGGCAACACACACACACACACGCACATCTAGCATGGTTGGCTGGTGCATGCAAACCTCCCTTTTGACAACGTGTGTTCGTTTTGTGGTAAAACGGTAAACCAGATTGCCAATTCATGCTCACTTGCGATGTGTACCAACAACCAGCCAGATAGAAGACACAGCACCACAGGATGGTGAAATGGCCCTGAAGGCTTGGATTGGGACTACTTCATCCATCTCAAAATAGGAATCGGAGGGGGGGGGCAGCTTTTTGGCTTCCCTAAGCACTGTGAAAAAGGTAACCTCAAAAAATATGCCACCCATCTACACTTTGGTTTCCAATGAGCCGGGCGCTCAGACTGCCCGAAGATGCTCCCGCTGGTGTTCACCGCTTTGATTAACCCCTCGAGGTAGACTGAAACCGAAATCGCTGTAGTGTTGCCTACATGGGATTGAGTCTACCAAAAAGGTAATTAAGAAATGCAGCCCGAGTGTCTGGCCTGGTTGATTTCACCCCTGGAAGGGGGTGTTGCCTTTTTTAGGGTACACTCCTGGGATTACTTTGAAGGACAACCCAAGACAAAACAACAGCTACGCCCCACAAACATGCCTTTTCAATTTTTCCCTGCTGGACACGTCATGGTCCTCGGCAAAACCACAAAGAGCAAAGCCAACTTGGAAATGTTCCCACCACACAATACCATTTTGATGGATTCCCAGAAAACGAGTCAATCTGGGCTTTCCGCCCTTTCAGCACTTCCTTTCGCGCTTTTGGACGGCCGTGGGCCGTCTTGACCGCAGGAACACTCGTCAGCAGTCGTGGAGGTCGCACAAGGCCTGAGACCAAAATAGGCTCTTGACCCTAGATGACCCCTATTGTCCCAGAGATGGCAGCCAAAATATTACCTGAGCGTGTCAAAACATGCGCCAAACAATGGAGATGCCTCAAAAACACGAGGGAAGGCCCGCATGAGGTTCCAATCAATCCGTGAAAGGGTGGTTTCTGACAGACCTCACAAAACGTGAAGGAAAACTCTGTGGATATCTGCTTTCTTGAGACTAAGATATACTAAAGTCTGCTGCATATTCCTTCGGTCCGTTCCTTTGGATGCCACGGAAAGGTTAACGTTCAGAAGATACACATTTCAAAGTCCCCTGGGGTGTCGAGGTTTGATTCCAATTGTGTCGTGCACACAGTAGCAGGCTGTGAAATACGTTTACTTTCACTCGAAACATAGTCAAAGGAAATTGAACAAGAACTTCTGTAGTACTGGAAGCAAACGAGCTAGCTCTCTCAAAGAATGCATGCGCCCGTGCGTGATCTCTAACAATAGTGTGAAAGCCCCGCCCCGCCCCACCCACCCCACCCCACCCCGCGCCCACCCCACCCCAGCCCACCACCCAGCCCACCCCAGCCCACCCCACCCACCCCAGCCCACCCCACCCACCCCACCCACCCCACCCACCCCACCCACCCCACCCACCCCACCCACCCCACCCACCCCACCCACCCCACCCCACCCACCGCACCCACCGCACCCACCCCACCCCCGCCACCCACCCCACCCACCCACCCCACCCCCCCCCGCCATCATGGTCTTCATCATCTTTCTCATCAACATCCTGCCCATCACCAGCATCATCATCTTCATCGTCCTCATCTTCATCATTGATCTTCGTTACCACTGCCCGACAGTGTATCACAGGCTTTACTTAGGCCCCCCTAAGCTGGATTTACCGGAGGGGTGCCACCTGACGGGGGCCGAGTAGGGTTCTGCGAGCAGTGTAGAACATACCCCGAGCCCAATCCATTGCCTTGTAGGCCGCGGTGAGCTCCTTGAAGCGCGTGCCTTCCAGCTCCTCGACCAGGCGCTCCGAGGGGCCCACGCAACAGACATGTTTTTCCACCTGAAAACCATCGTTCGCTGGTTTTACGGTGATGTGAACACTAAGGGATATCTATATTTATTTTCTATATATATATATATATGGGTTTAAGGGTTTGCCTCAAAACAGGGGAACCCCCAAATTGTTGTTTTTCTTCTGGTTTCCCGTTCAATCCACGAAAAGGGTATCCTCAAAAAGACAGACCCAAAAAGAGACCGTTTGAGGGAAGCCGCCTCAACGCCAACAAGTAAACCCTCCAGTAAGGCCCAGTGAGCAAGATGGCGTGTCGAGCCATCCGCCGGGGGGCTCACATCAGGTTCCGTTTCAAAGAAAACCAACAGATCCGCTTGTGACAGCTCAGATGCCCAGTGGCCAGGGGAAAAAAAGGCATCCTTTTTTGGTTGGTTGACTTTAGGGGGAACCCTTCTCCCCAAACAAAAAGGAAAAAAGGGCGCCGCTGGGCAACTGGGACAGGATTCCGCATGGCTTTTTGGGTGCGCACTTGAACTTTAAATCTCGCTGCCTCAAGCTGCAAGCTGATCGATGTGAGAAGCACCCAACATCCGAGCTGACTTTTGTTTCCAAGATGGTTGCAAACGGTTTATATAGGCCTTACTATAATTCACATGAGACCAGGCAAGAGAACAACCTACTAAAATCAGTTTTAGTTTTTGGGAATCGGCTTTCGTGCGCTTTGATGAAGCGGTCCTTGCTCTTGTCAGGGTGGCATTTCAGGGCCAGCTGGCGGTAGGCCCGCCGAACCTGTCCGGTCAAGTGCCCCTTTTTGAGGCGAACTCATGTGTTTAGCCTCCCAAAGGGGCCCATTTGCTACCTCTCTTTCAGATGCACCCCCCCTCCCCCACAGTGGGTGTTGATCTACCAGTGAGCAATCGATTTGGTTGTTGCTTGTAGTATCTGTTCTTCAGGTCTTTCAGTGCGTTTTGTGTTTCCATTTGCTAAGCATGAATGGTTCGAGCCTGTTTGTTGGCAGATCTTCAAGTGGGGGTTGTTGTTTTTTTCGGGAACCCCTGAACAAGATCTCGGCTTCTCGAAGAGCTTCGTGTTTCAGCTTGAAAGTCAAGCACGTGGCCTGCAGGTCATCGTGATGGTCGGGGAAGGAATGAAGCTGCACGCAAATCGGCAGGAAAAGGGGCAGCTATGGTGGGGGCCAAAAAAGTATTGCAGGTGGGGGGAACAAGGAACCCCCATATGTTTTCTCCGCACTTTGGCGCAATTCACCAGGTATTTTGTTGGATGTAGTCGGTTCAATTTGATTGCTTCGTGCATCCACGCTAATTTTCGGGGAATGCTGGAAGCTTCGCGTTGCATATGGCTGTGAGTGTTTGGGATGACACCATCCTCACGCAACCCATGTCCGCCGAAGGTGCATGTCGAACAATGGAGTCCTAACGCCTCGAGCATCGAAGCCATAATAGCAGGCACTGATGCTTATGCTCGGCTCAAAAGAAGGCTAAACACAAATGACTGGGCACTTTGTGGAGAACCCATGCGCAAACAAAAAAGTATCAAAGAAGCCTGCCGCAAAGAACATCTAGGTATACAAGGATCTACAAAGGCGGCAGCGTCCGAATCGTCTAAATATACTGGCGAGGAAGTCGCTGCCAATGAAACATCTGAAACATACAAACACTTTTGTGCAATATTGCTCGCAACGGATTGTGCCTTCATGCAGCAGTCCCCAAGAAGTAGTTGTATCACCATAGAAGAAACTCTCAAGAAGGGCAGTAATTGCCAGTGGAATATCTGAGGACACGCGTGAACGGACTGTTCCGCGGTCCATAACTAGGTCCTCCAGTATCGAGGTTAGAACAAGGGTACCCTTTTTGTCTGTAGTCTATTTTAGTAGGGGAACCCTCTCCTGGGGGACCTAGTTAGGTCGAATGTCCAGTTCCGGGGTCCATGACCATCCCTTTCCAACCGGAGGGGAAAGTTGGTATTTTGACGATGGCACGAATGGATGGCCCAAATGTGGGGCAGCAGCAGATGAGACATCCATATTTTGTGTACCCCAACACATTACCCTCCCATTAACATGTTCTGACAGCGAAATGGCCCCTTCAAGCTGAAATAGATGCTATGTTCGTGGGAGGACGGGTATTAAACAAAACAGGGGGACCCCAAATGGTTGAGCGTTTCTCAAAAGGGGTTTCGGAGCCATCCCCAGACTCAAAAAAACACTTTTGGGTATGTGTCAAGTACGGCTTTAACATGGCGTATCTGCTTCATTTATTTTTCACTGTTTCCTCGCTCCCTATGCTTCGGGATTCATGGTGAGCCTGGGCCGAGATTCTGTGAACTTATCCTGGTGCAAGTAAAACACTACAAGGTACTACAAGCATCACATTGGTGTGTGTCTGTGTGTGAATGTGTTAGAATAGGGGACCCTCAAAATGGCTTTAGACCACCCCTTAAAAGCGCACCCCCAAACAAAAGACAGGCCCAAGGAGACCCCGAAAAAGATCGATGGCGCCACCCTCACAAAGAGGTGACTTGCACGCCAGCGGCTTCCGCCTCTTGATTAGATGCGCCGGGCTGCAGGCCAAGCCTCAAGGCGGTTCGGTTTGAAAAACGCGGTGCCTCAGTGTCCCAAAACGCCGTTTGGAACCTCTTGCTGGGATAAACAGAGACATGTCGATATTTGATATACTTTTGGAGGGCAACAGGAGGCTCCGATTTTTCAACCTGAAAGGCTGGCGAGTGTGGCGGACAGATTCAATCAAACCTCCCAGAAGTAAATGTTCCATTTGCCGATTGGGTGAATTGAAAGGTCGAAGAAGCTGGCGGGAACTACCGGAACAAACTAGCCAAACCAAACACCATTGAATCCATTGAACAAGGTTTTTAGATCTATGGGAAAAAGGAAGCCACCATGAAACTAAGGGGTGTCTTGTTTATGGGACCCGAAAGACGGGGTGCCCTCAAAAAGACACCCCCTACTGGACACCTTCCCCCTTCCCGCAATCGAATTTGATGACACAATTGTTCTGCTTGAGGACACCCACCGGTGCGCTGGTGTTGGGCCTTTCAACGCCTCCGTAGCACACAACATGTACCTTCCGCCATGCATGCTGATGATGAAACGCTGGTTGATTTTGATCCGGTCCCAATTTAGGGATCTGGATCACCTACTGTGATCCCTTCCAGGCTTCTCAAACAGGGCTCGATGGGAAGGCGACAAAGATAAATTTTCAGGACTTCGCCCGAACGGCGGTGTCTCGGACAAATCCAAGCCGGCCTGTTCCCAGTGACATGAGAACACGGCATTGCCAAAAGAGGTGGCTCGTCCTTTTGGAGTTGTTATCTCTTTTTGGTTCTCAAAGGGAAACCACCAATAGGAAAACCACAACTTCCTAACAACACACCCAAATGGAGGGTTGCCAAATCCTCATCCAAACTCCATTCTGGCAAGCCACCAGGGGCTCGCAACTCGCCTTGTAAGGGAAGGAGTAAAGCCCAGCCCCCGTCGTCCAGCCCAGCCCCAGGGCCCCCGTCGTCTGGTAGTATTCCTTGGGCACTTCCTGACACATCCGCTTCTCGCAGAGCGAGCACCCACGTGGATTGGAGTGAAACTTCAGGGGCTTCGGACCCAAACGGCGGACAAAACTCGGTGGGGATTCATGTCCACCAACAACAGGGATCCTTACATTATACACCTGAACATTGCCTTGTGAATGGTGCCTTTAATGCTAGATAGCGATTAATAAAACGGGAGTGAATACAGAAAAAAACATCACAATTATTCACTCTCCTGAAAAGCAAAAAGGGTAGGTATTACAGAAAAACATCAAATCCCGAAAATATGTCCCCTTCCAAGAATGGACTATGTTTGAGGGTTGAAACGTTTGAGTCCAGCCAGAAATGTCCAGAATTTCTGGATTGCGTCCTGTCCCAAACCACCAAATTCCTTATCAATCTCTTTACTAGAAGATGCACCCTGACAAATTTTCCAGGGGGTGGCACACGGAACCCCCAGGAAGGCAATAATGCAGTTTGTTTAAGGGTAGGGAATTGTGAAGAAAAAATGGCCAGGGCAGCCTGCCAAGAAGAAGAACCAATACTAAACCAATTCTAAACTGTAGTGAGTCAACTGAAAATAATACTGAACTAATACTAAACCAATTCTAAACCGTAGTGAGCCAGCTCAAAGGAATACTAAACCAATACTAAACCAATTCTACACAATACTTACTGGAAAACTACTCAGGCAGGTCCCAGTCTGACCCCCATTTTGTTTTTGGGGGTGCTCGCTATTAACCCCCGCCAATTTGTTTGAGGGGGGGGGGCCCTTTATTAATCACTCCCCAACATTTGTTTGGTGGAAAAAGCCATGTTTGAAATGGGCAAAATATCTTTTAAGGAGCCCTGAACAAATTTTGAAGTTCCCTGAACCCCAGACCCCCAGTGGTTTTTCACCGGGGAGAAAAAAATCGGCAACCTGTGTTTAACCGAACGGGCAGCCAGGGTAAAAATCGGAGGTCTTGGAAAAAGGCCGTACGACGCCCAAAGCGACATTTCAAGAGACCGGGTGGGTTCCAGGTGGGTCTTTTCAGATTTCTTTCAGTGCCCGCATTCTGGTTGGTTTTAAGGAAACCACAAGGAAACCACATTTTTGTTGGGGGGGGGGACGGGGTTCCCCTATTTTTTGGACAACAACATGTTACCAGAGCAAGTCCTGTTGATGTTTCATTCGGTCCTAAGCTTGGAGGTCAGCTAAGATGGCTGCAAAGCATGTCTTTCACATGACACACAAATTGCCAGGTTTGGGGAGTGATACTACTTCACATGCAGCACAACCTCAAAGGGGCAGCCTTGGGAGATACCTCACAGTGCTTGAGGTTAGTCAGTTTGTCAGGGCTTGGTCCCAGTCTCCCAACAGGAAACTGCGTTCAGTAACCGGACCAATCACCCAAAACAGCCCCTGTCTGGCCTTGATTGAAGCAAGCAATGAGGCTCCTCATCTGGAAACCTAGTTTCACAGACCAGTCCGACACCACTTGTGCATAACCCAAGTACCAAGTGGCCATTGGGCGAACGGGCTGATCTTTTTATAGACGAAAAATGGCAAACAGGCCCCACCGAACACCGAGGGGGCGTGGAACAATTTGTATCTGGGAGCAGCCCATGACATCTTCTAGTCGAATTCATTTTCTTCGGAATCCCGACACATCTTGGCCGCCCACACAAAAAGAACCGAGTGGATAAAACCTTTTCCCGGCAGGACTAGCTCCTCCCCAAATTGTTTCAGACAATTCCTGCAATGATCCACAGCAATGGACATAATTACTTCCTTTTGACATTCAACGCTGTGATTTTGTTGATGAATTGGGTACCAATCACATCAGAACTTCATGCAAGCAAACAAAAGGCTCCCCTCCCTCCCCCGCAGCCGCCATGAAGCATGGCAGCGCCATTAGCCTCCCTGAGCCCTTCCCGGCACCCACCCCTACACACGATTCCGGTCCATTCCCTACAAAGTAAGTAGGGAGCAGGTTCAGTTTCCTTGAAGGTTGTGTTTGGTTTGCACTCTTCGCGACCCTGCTTGTCGGACAAAGGGTTAGGGAGCAGGCTGGAACACAATGCAATTTGCCCTTCCACTCAGGCACACTTGTATCTGTAATCGACAAGACACAGGTTGCGAGACAACAAAGGGGCAACATGATTTACAAATGGCAACTTCTACCCACAACTACCCTCCTGCCCACTAGCATGGACTGCAACGGGCAACATGAGTTGATGGCAAGTGAGGGGGTTCAGATCCTCTTCTAAAGGTTCAACTTGCGGGTTGAACGTCAACCCAACCACTAAACCAACTACAAATCCAACCTAAGCAACCGCACGCCCGGGGCATCGTTGAGGCCAATCTGCGTAACACAAAGACGCGAGTTCCGGGCCTCGCAAGGATCGACAAAGGCGCGGGCCCTGAGACAGGTTGGCACCCGCTTTTTGAGGTTCGGTTTTGGAGAATTCAAGGGAAAACCGGCTTCCATTTTGGAGGTTCCTTGAGACAGACTCAAACAGGGATCACTGGATTTCCCCTCAAAAGTTGCAATTGGCCAGTGGTTTCCGATCGAAACTGCCACTTTTGAAGGTTTTTGAAAAGGGAAATGAAGGAAACAAATCCAAACATACCAGGTAAATCATTCTTTCTCCTACTCAAGATTTCAACATGTTAGTTTTTTCGATACGCTCCGCTGGGAAGGTGCCTGCACTTTTTCGGCAACTTTCCCAAGGAGCGCATCCAACTGCCTGTCAATTTCCGTTGAGCAGGACGGCCTCCCCCCCCACCGCCGCAAAAAGAATCCCTTCAAAACCACCAAAAAGGGGGAACCAAAAAAAGTAACATCCATACTCTTCTGCACCAGGTGGTTGGATTCTGGCTTGGACTCGCGGATCCCCACATGCCAACGAGTTTGCACAAGTGGCCCTGCAAAAACACCGATGCTTGCAGAGGTAGCCAGTTGTACCTGTCTGGAAGGATGAGTCCATCGGTCCACAGAAAACGAAGTTGGCTTTTTTGTCCCGCTTTCAAAAGCAGGGAAACACAGCACTTGAATGAGGTATAGACCAATGTCTTTGCAAAAAAACACACATACACAAACAAAGACAATAACAACAAACACCGACACACATCGACACACCCGTGTGCGCGTAAACAAACGCGCGTGCACACTATTGAGCCCACAATTCAAGGAGTCCAGTCAAAACTGTTCCTTTTTGTGGGTACCCTTTTTGGGGTTGGATTGAAAAGAAACGACAGGGACACCTACCATTGTGAGGAGTCCCCTGAACACTTGCAGTGACATGTAATGGAAGCAACCAACAAAGGCAAACTACAAGGATTCAACGAGAGAATTCGGATCCAAATCCGGCGGTGAAACTCGTGCATACAACACAGAACCTTCGTATTTCGGGATCCATTCCTTTTCAACCACACCCAGGGGGGTGGATGTTTTTGGGTTTTTTTGAGGGGGGGGGGGTGCTACCCTTTGGGCATGGGGGGGGTGCTTACCCTTTGGGCATTGTTTCAAAGCCGACAAGACAGCACCTTCACCCATGGCTTCTTTGGGCTCCATATCCCACGAAGCCACGATCTCGGCGCCCGGACTGGCCCGGCTCAAACTTGAACCTTGCTCCGTGTCCGGAAAGAAAGCCGAGGTCCCCTCGGCCCCCAAGGGCTCTTGGTTCCACTGTTTCCAACAATCATGGAAACTGAGCGTTGGAAAACTACTGTTGTCTTCTCACCTCTTGACTGGGTTGGCCAAAACAAGTCCAAACTTTTCGTTTGCCACTAAAATGGTCTTCTCAAAAAGTGACCAAACTGCAACAACTCAGGAAGTGAGTCTGGAAAAAGGCTTCTCCAGGTCCAAAAAAAATGCTGGACAGAGAGCAGTTTTCTGAGTTTGTGTGTGGGCCAAGTGGCTTGGCTTTCTCCCTGGACGGCGCTTCGGTCTTTGGCCTGGCGACAAAGTCAGGTAGGGGAGGGGGGGGTCTCAAAGTGGCAACAAAAACATGTCCCACAAAAGAATGGGATGGATGAGCAGAACCAAACTGAAACCATCTACTTTCAACCAAAACTAATCTGCTTTGGGACTGTGGAGGGAAACCCCAAACGGGGGATTCCGTTTATGGCGAGTAACCATTGAATGATAACCAAGCACTAGGGTCCCAATTGCAAAGGCTTTAGGTTTTAGGATGCACCCAGCTGATGTGTGGGGTAATTTACCCATTCCCACTGGCACTTTTCAAGAGGTTTTGCATGTTCAGAGCAGTCTACGTCTGCTTGGACGCGAACGAATCAAATGCAGGTTGGTCAGCGGTTGTTTGGGGACTCCTTTGGTTGGTATCTTCAATCGTCTTGGGAGGGTCTCTCATTTGGAAAACAACCGCCATTGAGGTCACGGAGATGGTCACGGCCCCCAGCAGATTGAATGTTTCAAACATGTCTCAAGGTGTTTGGAACACAATCGCCAGAAGCTTGTGGGAAGCCCAAATAGATGACCATGCTCTTCAACTTGGAGATGTACTTTGTTTAATTCTTCAATGCCAAGGGAAGCATCCCGGCAATCTCCAAACGTGTTGGCCGATGTAATAACAAACATATCTTCATTTGAATAAGCTTTCTGGGTGAAAAAACAATCATATTTCCAGTCGTGATAGATTCCTTTTGAAACCAACAAGAGGAAAACCAAACAACTCTTAAGCAACTGGACGCACTTGCCCGCCCCGGCACGCTCGCCTATCGTCTTGCTTCGGCGGCACTGTCGCCTTTGCTTTGGGCGGCGGACCAGCAGGCGCCCTCAATGTGCGGAGGGGGGTATCTGGGGTTGCCTTTCATCAGGAAGCAGTCTTGGATGCTTTACATAACACCTATATATGCTTGTGTTGTGGGGCAACACAAAAGGGGTATGTTAATGTTGACCCCATATTAATCAACCCCAGATTTGCTTTTGAGTAATAGGGCGGCGTTCCTCTCCAAAAGTGACGATTCCCCGCTAAACCCAGGGCCCCCTATTAATAAGCTGGGGTCGAATACTATGGGGTCAACGTTAAGCGGCATATAAGTGGTATATAACCTCCATACCTCCAAAACCCATACGTGAAAATACCTTAAACCATGGGCCCAACCAATTCTACAGGTTCAAAAGGGAAACCAATCGGATGTCGGGTGAACCTACAGAAGCGTTTCCTTGCCTCCCCGGGAGTGACTCGGCTTGTGCGGAACTTGGCAGGGCTTTTGAGCATCAGCCATGTTGATTTTCAACGAACAGGGGCCCAAAGGAAGTGGTCCGTCTTCCGCCCGTGCAGCCAGCGCGTCAACGGGAGTGAGAAGGCCAATCAGCTTTAAATATAGGGAACCCACAAAGGGCGGGTGTTTTGGTTTGGCTTCCATTTAAGCCCACTCCAAAAGGGGTACCCTCGAAAAAGACACCTGCTTAAAATTACTTCTTTGGGAGTGACATTATTGGCCATCGCAAAACTATGGGGCGCGAAACTAGCGAGCCCTTTCTCAGCAGCTTGCCTGGCATTTGACTTCTCGATTTGCGGTGGATAGTTCCAACCCGAACCTGTTTACTCGATCTCCTTTTCCATCCCTTGCGGTTGTTCCCCAGGCATATTCCCTGTCTTTGATACACCTTTGTCCCCTAGGATTCGGTCCTGTTTGCCGCTGGCCGTTGCTTCAAAGCATAATTTGCAGGGATCATCCTTGAGGGATCCACCAAGGTGTTGCCCATTTTATGGGTGTCAACAACCTCCGCAGGCAGCCCTAGGGGAACCGATTTCAAATCGGGGTCCCAGTTTTGAAAAACATGAGGGAGCTCCATTTGGCCCGCCTGATGTTTGGCAAAACACGGTAATTCTCCACAATACCAGCCTGGCTCAAATGTGTCTGCGATTAAACGGAGAGCAATGAAGGCAAAGGGCTGATATCCAGGATGCTGTTGGGTCTAAGGTTGGCTTTGCGTCGGTATGGGCTGGCTTGGAGCTGATGTGTGCTAGGAGTGCGGCGGATTTAGCAGTGGTTCTAGGGTTGCATGGTCACATCTTGGCGCCTCCCTTCCACACCTGACACGACTGATTTACCACGTGCCTTCCCCCAGTGGGTATGCTTCTTGAAGGATGGTTAGCATGTTCACTTTTAGCTCTACCAATATGTTTTGCTTACAATCGCCCTGGCGACGCGTAAAACGACAAAATGGCTCGCTTCCTTTTGCTTTTCCCCTCAGGCCAGCTTTCCTCTCATTGGCGGCAGCGATTGGTGGTTTGGTGGTTAAGGGGTGGGTGTCCCATTTACCCTCGAGAACCAGGGGTTCAAATCCGAATCCAAACCAATCCAAACCACCAAATAAGGGCTACCTGATCAACCAACAACACCAAGAGGAGTTTTCTTCGTACTCTCGAGCCGTGGCCTGAGCTTGAACTTTCACCGCCTTACGAAGCCGCAAGGCAGAATCGGAGCGAGCGCCACGAAGCTTTTCTTCGGTGTTCTATACGAGTTCCTGCGGCCTTCTCTCAGTTCTCCTAGAAAACCCGTGGACCCCCCAAAAAGAAATCCTCGTATCCTATGGTTTTCCACGTTTGCGAACTCCAGAAGTTCCCCGAAGCGCTGGCGCCATCAAGCTTTGGACCCCGGCGTCTTGGGCGGACTTCGGTGTCGGCGCTCGAACCCAGGCCTCGAAGCTTCGCCCTCCACTCTGGGCTGCGAAAAGTTTTCTGATCCCCTGTTAAAAGTGAATCACTTTTAGTGGGTATGGAAACCCCAACCACTGAACCCTGAAAAGCTCAAAAGCTATGGGAGCCCATGCTCCAAGTTCTTGGGCTTTCAACTTTTGATCTCCCAAACAGTTTGGCTACCTGTTTTGATGCCAGGCCACTCAAGAAGTACTCTTTATATGCCAATATTTTGTAGGTAACTATTTACGCCGCAGGGTGAATGTGGTCTTTTTTGCATACACGGATGTGGCTAGTGGTTGACATCCACATACCGCGCAAATTCAACCCTCGGAGGAATCCTTCAGCTCTTTTGCGCGGCACATGATAAGTTGCCCACGGAAAATATGTTCAGCCATGGTCCTGCTGCATATGAAGGATGACATTTCGCCGGGCTGCAAGCCCAAGGACGAAGTTTCTGCGGAAGGCTCATGGGTTCCGCAAGAGCCTCTGGCTCCGGCTGGTCCTCAGTCTCCCCCAGCTTGGTAGTGCGGCATCGCCTTTGTGCCTGGCGCCTTGTGCGGGGGATGGCAAGGATATTGTCGATTCAAAGGAAGACAGTATGAACCAACTGGAACAACACAGACGTGCTGTTCTATCTTGACTGATGAATCTTTCTTACGGATCAAGTCTTGCTTCTGCGGCTGCTGCTTCATCCCACAATTTCAATCTGGCACCCAGAACAATGGCCCGAGCGAACTATAACCACAAGCATTTGGGACGCTGTCAAGATACGGGACCCCAAGAATGACAGTTTTCCGCAGTTGTTTTCCCCTTCATCTTTGAACCACCCTTTCAGGTACCCTCAAAAACCACACCCAAGCCATTCAATCAGCACCTGTTAGAATGTTAGAACCATTTTGCAGTTTGTAGGTGCCTCTGAATTCGTGATTCGTACTCGTTTCAAGGCCTTCCAAATCATCCCAGAAAATGCAGAACCCTCCCTGTCATGGGACCCATTATGCCCTCGCTTTCCAACCATTGGCAACGTACAGGAGGGCTAGGCCCGTCGCCCCACGCCCAAAGTACACACGAACAACCACTTGCGAGGGAAGTGAGGAGAAGTGAGTGACAGGACGAACCGAGAATTTCCATCACCACTATGTCATGGTTAGTCCTCAGGGATATGTCCTAGAGAGAGGAGTGAAGAGTGGGTGCCCATTCCATTCAAGAGTTGACCCGCTAGTCGGATATTCCTGTTTATTCGCTCATTTATCTCTCTATCTCGCTTCCCAATCCTGTGTCTTTCCCAAATGCCCGAAAGAGCTGAATTAATGCGATGGGACAGCTAGGAAAAGACAGTGAAGGAAGTTATCTTCAGACGCAAAAGGCGTGAGTCACCTCTCTCTCGTTAGTACGTGTAAGCTCTAGATGAGAGAGAGAGAGAGATGAGGGCAAAAGGTGAATAAGCCATCACAATTCCTCATTCTAATTGTCGTTCCTATCACACGAATTCAAATGGAATAGGTTTCTTGAATAGAATAACGATGCGATAACACAAAATCTTAAGCTTACATTCATCTGGCTCTTGTTTTCGCATTTGAGGTTTTCCCGTGTCACTTCCCCACTTCATCTCTCCCCTTTCGCTCGCTACATGAGCTGGAAGCGACGGAAGGGATCGAGAGAGACTTAGAATTTGGACCTGGTCGTCTTCCTTCATTCCCTGCTTCTCAATATCTATCTTGGACATCTCCGCAAGACAGTGATTACTTACAAAGAGGAAGGACATGGAAACAACTCGAAACGTTATTGATGGGAATCATGTCTTGGCATGTACACGTTGAACATTAGCCAAGCGACTCCAGTCCAAATAATGAGATCATAGTAATAAGACAATAGTATCATGAAGAAGGGGATGGCATCTCTTTTATTTCTCTTGCGTGGTCGTTTTCGGTCCTTGTGGCTTGGTCAACGTTCCACCCCAAACCTACTGTGGATGGACGAAATCCTGCACCACTTGGAACCCATGGGAAACCGTTGTTTGTTGGCATGTGCAGGGGAATCATCATTCCAGGGTTTCTTAGGTGGTGCCAAATGGATTTCGTCCATCCACAGTAGGGTTGGTACACTTGTATCACCTAGGTCAGGCCATGAAACCAAGGAACCCAGGGAGTGGATGGCGCTAAGCCCCACATGGGCACGGTAGTCGGTGCCTGTGAGCCATGATTTGAGCCAACACCCGAAGGTGGAAGCCCAGCCAAAAATTAAATGGGTGCTTCACTTCCTTACTGGTCCATGGTCTTGGGTAGACCATGTTAATAGCAATCCGTTTTGATTCTGACGCATTTGTTGGCTTCGGCCTCCGAGATTTTGGCCTCCGAGATTTTGGGCGCGAAGAGTCATACTGTGGATGGACGAAATCATGCACCACCTAAGAAACCCTGGAATGATGATTCCCCTGTACATGCCAACAAACAACGGTTTCCCATGGGTTCCAAGTGGTGCAGGATTTCGTCCATCCACAGTATGAGTTAAATATGCTCTGTGTTCAGTATTTTACTTGCTGGTGCGATAGGTAGGGAATGACCCAAAGGTCTTGGGAATGAACCTAGGGCTTCCCTTCAAGGAAACCATAGGTCATGGTTTCTGGGGTTCATGCTGAGAACCAGCAAAGTGCTTATCATTTTAATAAACTACCCCTTCCCACCCCATTTCACCGCCAAACCACCGGGCTCCCAACCATCAACTAGGTCCTCCAGCAGAGAGGTTAGAATAAGTTGGTACCCTTGTTTTTCTGTAGTCTATTTTAGTAGGGGAACCCTCCCAAAAAAAGGGTAAAAGGGCACCTTAGACCAATCACGGGGAAAGCTGAAAAGATGCGTCCGATGGTCCCAAACCTTGACTCAGGTGGAACGCCCACAGGCGCCCCGGCGCAACCGCACCTGTCCAGGCCTCGCGCTTTTTACAAGAGCGGCGTGCCCGATATCTTTTTGGGGGACTCGAAAAGTCATGCTTTCGGCGAGGTCCTCCAGTAGAGAGGTTAGAATCAGGGTACCCGATGTTTTTCTGTCGATTTTAGTAGGGGAACCCTCCCGCAAAAAAGAAACGGTAAAAGGCACCTAGCTGGGGGACCTAGTCAGAGATTGCTTCGTATTTAGCTTATCCCGAAATAGAAAATAGTTGTGGAGACAGATGGATGATTTCCTTTTGGCTTCAAACCGCCAAAGCAGATGCCCACGAAACAGGACATGAGCAAGTGCCAAAAACATGGGGAAGGACATAATATGAGGGCCACCCAACAAATCCTGCAAAACCCGAGGGGCCAACTGAACTTTCTTTGGGGCTCATATGGGTGTGCCTGTGTGCGTATGTGTGTTTCCCTCGTGGCTTCCTTTTCGAGCTGAAATGAATTGGTGGATTCAAAAAACGCACACCCGTAACACCCGTACTGTGGATGGACAACATCCTGCACCACTTGGTAGGTGGTTTATCCCCCCAAAAAAATACAGTATAGGTTTTCAGCCATTCCAACTGGTTCGTCCATCCACGGTGTGGGAGGTGGGAACTGTGGTAAATCGTCTCGCCAAAAGGAAACGAACATTTCAAGTTGGTTCAGGTAATGCTTCAAACGCCTTGACAGGGAACCGCCCCCGGCAAAATTAGGGGCCTTTCCAAGCTGCTAGTTTCTTGTCATGCTGTTTCTCCCCCTTTTAGTTGGTTTCAAAGCCACGCTTGAGGCGCATCCATTCATTTGGCGGCTGATGGTAGCTTTGGCCCCCTCCTCCCCAAATCCACCATTGATATCTAATGGTCCAAGCGGCACTCGTTTTTGACTCATCCTTCTTTCTAAACATCCATCCACTTACCTTGGGTGTCTTGATGGGTGTCCCTTAACAGACTGGGTCGGAAAAAAAGTAGCCCTCAAACAGAATGGGGAGGGTAAGGCTGGAACTACAGCTAAGTTGTACCAGCAAACAAGTATACAGTAGCGCTCCTTGAGATACAGCTAAGTAAAGAAATGACAACCCCACGATCGCGTATCGGATTTTTTTCAGGTGCTTGAAACCGCGTACTGGAGCTGAGCAAGGGGACGCAAGGCTGAATGAATCTATATATTCCTGCATGATTCATTCGGGGTGTCCCAAGAAGCTAGGCCTCACGTTTTGGAACCTCCACCTTTCTTACTCCGCAAGGAATATTGATCCGGGGTCCAAGTACACTAACGTTGACCACGGTTGATCAGTACGGGGTGTGCCTTTGCAAAGATCGTTTACTTTGGGGGAAAACTCGCCCTTCTTACTCCGCAATCCCTCACAATGCTGGAAACACCCTCCTATTAAATTTCAAGGTTGGTTCACTCGCGGTCCCTTCAGAGTCTTCCTCGCTGCCCGCATGACACATATGGCCATGGGTCAAAACCCAAATCGTACCCCCAGGTCACATCCCAATCCAACCACTAAAATAGGTTCTAAAATGGGTGGTGAACTCACCTACCAACCAAAATGGTATCCCATTTGTTTTGACCCAAAGCCACATTAAAACTCGACCCCGGCAGTTCCCGGGGCTGCCGGCTGGAACGCGCGTGCCGCCTGACAAATGCCACGTTTGCATCCTTCAAACAGACTGCTCTAGAACAACCTAGGCTCGCAGCCTGCTTCTGTTTGTTCCCAATTGGATCTTGACATCCTGATTTGGTCGGCATTTTACAATTAGGACCCTTGGCGGACTTCATTTACATGGGGATTTGTGTCCATCAGCAATGCAGGGGTGTCTTTTCTACAGGAGAACCGCTCTTAGATGGGTTGCCTCTTACATTTTCTGCGGAATAACCCGCTTCAACTAGTTGCCCTTGCCGCGGGATTCACAACTTTCACGAGTTGCTTGAAGTGACAGGCGGCCTTTGAAAGTGCCAAATCTTGGATGGACAGCAACAGCATACGCTGAAGCCGCCTAGGCAATCACTTTACCAGGATTTGTTTGAATTCGTCCAATCCGAAGGTCTGTGAATGGCGACGAGTCAGGGTAGTCCTTTTCCCAAATTCCCTAAGTGGGGACACATTTATCAAGTACTAGATCCTCCAGTAGAGAGGTTAGAATAAGTTGGTACCCTTAGGTCTCACTTAAAGAAAGCGCTCAAATCCATTGACCATACTTGCCGCTTAGAGGCATTGGCGCTACAGCATCTTCATTTTGGTGTGGGACAAAATGTTCGTGTGGCGCACAAACCATTGACCTCATAGGGCCTTTTCCGGAAACTCCGAGAGACCGGCTTATGTGGACCCAGCGACCCAATGTTGGAGTGTAGGGTGTTTGCTCTCTGAGCTCCGTCAAATCAGATTGTCTACCCTGCACATATCATGCAAACACAACATTCTGGCGCGGCTTGCCAAATCCATCCGCTGGCAAGCCTTTGGGTTTGGGCGTAACACGATGGCGTCACTTTATATCACGACTCAATCCTGGAAGCTGACCGGAATGGTGGGAAGAGCACTTGGTTGACGTTGGAAGGGGAGCAGAAATTCAAGTTTTAGCAGTTAAGTGGGGATTTCCCACTAAACCACAATAAGCAAAATGTAAAATGTGTCCCAACAACAAGCATGAGTACCGTTTTGGGAAGCCGCCGTCCACCACCAAACAGCAATGGAGTGCCTGCCTCGTTTTTGAAGGCGATTTAGAGTTACCGAGGTATGGAGGAATTCAAACATCTCCCCCCAACTTTCACAAAAAATCCTAGGAACATCTCTGATCGAAGGGTTCGAATTGGACCTTTCCCGGAAGCTTGCACGGACAGCGCAACGCCCCTTTTTGAGAGATGTTTGAGAGGGTCGAAAGTTGGGGGTAGAAAGTTGGCACCCCTTTATGTAGTTTTCTACTTTGGCACCTCAAGTACCTTGGTGACCAGTTTTATCAAAGGAACCAACATTTTAGGTGTGCAGCTTCGCAGACTTCCAGAATCGGTCCCTAAACCGGCGAGGATTTCTTTTTGGTGTCCCCTTTAAATATCAAACGGGGATCCACCGTGATCCACCATTTTGAAAAACCCACCGTTCAGAAACCCTGGAATGATTCCTTTCCCAACGCAAATGCCAACCACCGTGGTATTTCTAGATTTCGCAAGCACCCACAGTAGAAAAACCACCGGGAACCACAGGAAAAGCTCAATTTTTAGTAGCTGAGCCAAAAAACCTGAGACCCAACCTGAGACCCAAGCCCAAGCCACAAAAACCGGGCAAACGCCTGACACCCAGGCGAGTCATAGGGAAGCCGGAAAAAAAACCCAAGACCCAGCAGAAAACCCACCGTGAACCATAGATAAACGATAAATTTTAGCAGGGAATGATGGAGCCAAACCTCAGAAAAACTCATAACACCAGTGGGAAGACACAAGCACCCGAGACCCAGCAGAAAACCACCGGGAAGCACAAATAAACTGAATTCTTAGTCATTGAGCCACCAAGAAACGCCTCAGACCAGGCGAGCTGCAGCCCCCGCCCCCTCCCCAAAACCTTCCATTTGGTTAAGGCCCCTGGAAAAAATAAACATATTTCCAGTAGTGATAGATTTCCTTTAACACCAACAGAGGAAAATAAACAATATTCTGAAGCAAATGGAAGAAACCAAAGAATGTGGAGAATCGGAGCGAGAGGGAAGGCCTGCGTAGCTGCCAGCCCCCGGCCTTGGAAGCCGACCGAAATTGGGCGGGTCTCCGGTGTCCTTTGTTTGGCTTTTTTGTTGGGGGGGGGGGGGTGTTGCGGGGGGGGGGGGGGGGGATTTGTTTGGATTTTTTGTTGTGGTGGGGGGGGTATCTTCGGGGGGGGGGGGGGGAATGTGGGTCTGTCTTCTTTAGGGGGAACCTTGTTTTTTGGTTGGTTTTTTGAAAGAAAGACACGCCCATGTAGGAAACCAACACCGAACCAACACCCAGTTCAATCTGAATTTTGAGGAACCCTTTTGCTAGGTCAGGTTGGTGCTTCAGTCAGCATTCCCGGCTGGCGGCCGGTGATACCCACCTGGGCCGGTACATTTACCTCACGCCCATAGCAAAGAAAGAGCATCGCGATACACGAAGGACTCCCGGTGGTGTGCAGACTTTGCGGTGCTCCAATCACCATCGGTTTTGCTTGTTGCCAATTGGACATGTTGGAACTTACCAAAGCAACTTCAACACACAGATGTAGCTCATAAAGCAGCATTATGCAAGCTGAGGACTTATTTTGACAAACATGCGACCGAGGTGTTCTGAACTTGGCAGAAAGCTTGGGTCAGGACTTGCGTCAGCCTGAGTCACCTGTTTGTTGAACAAATCATGGCAAAGGCCTGCAAAACCGGCACCCAGCCTGAGCCATGTGATGGGTTTGCATGACGGTGCTTTTGGAAACAACTCTTGCGCAGTCTGACCTGGAATCATGAGCCGGCTAGTTGAAGGTTAGTACAGGGACCGCCCCAACCAGCAATGCCTGCATCCGCCTTGGGAACTCTTCAAATGGGCTTGGGTTCATCATGTTGGTACCGGGTTTTGATTTTAACTCAACTCAAATGGCGATGCTTGAAAAAACTTAAATCAAGCCTACCCTCATGGCAAGAACCCCCCCACGGCAAAAATATTTTGAGGCCCGAAAGCTAGCTTTTGGGTCGCAGGTTCACCAAAGTTGCAGGACCAGTTTTTGGGCAAGACTTGGGACTACGGTGTCGCCACTTACATACCCGCACACTTAAATATGTCAACAGGGGTTACAGTACCTCCGCAGGGTTACCGTCAGCCCGGCCGAGCAATTTAAATACCTGATTTACATAGGACTTTTGCACTACTTTGTAACAGGCTGCCTCTGGCCCGGCTCGCCTGCCACCATTGCAGGCCGAGAACATCCAATGGTCGTAGCGGAGCAAGAAAGCTTCAGAAAGGGAGCCCAAAATCGAAGTCCCTTTCGTTTCTTGTAGCCCCTAACACGCCAAAAACGTTCCAGGGGAGCCTCGCAAGCCACCGTAGAAGTCGCCGAAGGCAGCGCCGATGCCGGAGGTGGAGCTGACGCCAAAGACGAAGCAACCCGCACTGCCGGTGACTCCAGCAAGTCCATCACGGTGACATCGACCTTGCCGGGGAAGGCCAGGTTCGCCGAGCTAATTGGAAAGCGACCCGCTGCGTCCCGCTCCATGAGCAACTCCGGCGACTGTGATTGGCACACACGAAGACGGCGAAGCCGCTCTAGAACCAGTCCGTGTGCCTCAGCGTCTCGCCCTGCAGCACAAAAGCCCGCACCCCCCCCTTCAGATTTTGCACAAAAAGCCCGACGCGAGACCGTCTTTGGTGGGGGTCTGCACGGGGTCTGAAACAGGTCTGAGACAGTCTCAGCAGCACAAGCAAAAAGTCTGCGCTCTGCAGGGACCCTTGCGAAATCAATCAGTGCCTGGGTATGAGTGCAATGAGCCAGTGGGCCACCACGCACACAAAGTTGGAAGCCAACACACAGGAGAATATCCTGAATTTCAAGGATCAGGGCCCCCATGATTGTTCCCCAGAATCACGCAAGCTAAAAACCCCATGGAAACGCAACACGAAGCACGACTTTCCCTACACTAGTACAAAGCACTCCCTTGTCTTGGACGGGACTCCCGTGTTTCCTTAACTGTCTGTAGCTCCGGGAAATGTCTTCAGACGGGAGTTCTGGCATTGCAAGGAATCCCGCAAAGAAAGGAAAAAGAACAAAGAAGTATAAGAAGCCCGATGAAACACCATGTTTTGCGAGGTCTGCGCAGGGATTGAAACAGGTCTGACACAGGGCCGAGAAAGAGATTCATGTCTCTCTCTCTCTTTCTCGCTTTCTCTGTCTGCTCTTTTTTCCCCAACAGCTGAAAGCTTTGGGGTCTCAGCCCAGATAGGCTCTGGGGTGGTCCGGGCAACTTGGACTGCCAAAACGGAACCTGACTGGGAGCTTTTCAGTCCCTTTTGGAAACCCTTTCTGTATGGAAAATAACACTGCCTTTCCTCGAGTTGCACATAGGTATTTCAATTCTCACCTCTCGAGCCAAGCGAATTGGTCGCTCTGACTCTCGACGTCGAAGCTTGGGTGCCCGGCGTCCATACTCCAGAAATCCCTGGCGTGCAACGAGTTTGCGTCGACTCCAAAAACAAACTTTAATGAATCCAGTAGGTTTGCGTCAAAATAGGGGGGGCCCAACACAATAGCCGGTGTTTCTAGTCTCCAAAGCACTTGGATGAATCTAGTGGGTTACAAAATAGCTGGTTTTCCTGTGGGTCTCTCGTGAAACCAACCCAAAGGGGCACCCTGAAGGCAACACCCCCAGTTTTGCTCCGATGATGGCGTTTGGCCTCGGTTCACTGTGAGAAAGCGTCATCTAGCTGGTGTCCCGGTGGGAAAAACGATTCGGCCGCGCCAGAATTCGCGATGAATTTTGGATGCAGGAATCTAGAGCCCTCCTAAATGGAAGCGTTTCTACTCTCTACACTTGGGTGGCCATAGGGTCTGGGTCTCTATTTAGTAAAGCCAAAGGACCGCAATGGCACACACACACACACACGCGCCCCCCCACCCACCCACCCACCCACCCACCCACCCACCCACCCACCCACCCACCCACCCACCCACCCACCCACCCACCCACCCACCCACCCACACCCACCCACCCCCACCCACCCCCACCCACCCACCCCCACCCGACCACACCCACCCACACACACCCACACACACACACCCACACACACCCACACACACCCACACACACACACCCACACACACACACAAACAAACAAACAAACAAACAAACAAACAAACAAACAAACAAACAAACAAACAAACAAACAAACAAACAAACAAACAAACAAACAAACAAACAAACAAACAAACAAACAAAC